TATATTTTATACCGTAATAATTAAGCGAGTGCTCCTAGTTCTTGTTTCTGTCGTAATCCAGTTGAAAAGAGGGCCTCCTGTCTCTCTGTTTAACCAGGCTACGGTGCACAGTTCACACTGCATTTCCACGTTGGTCAGATGAATGAAGTAGCAGCTGAATGAATGATGATGATGCTGAATGAATGAAGTAGTAGCTGCCCGTTGTGGAGGAACACGACTGCGTAAACTGTGGAAGCCGAGTGGAAACAAACGGCCACCACGGTTTGTCTTGTCCTAGCAGCAAAGGCAGATGGTCGCGACATGTTGAGCTGAACAATGAGACGAAACGCGGCTTGGAGCTCGCCGGCTATCCCTGCCAAAGAGAACCGGCTGGATTGTCTGACAAGGACGGCAAGCGGCCGGATGGGATGACTTTGATTTCTGTGCGCGAAGGAAAGGCCGTGGTATGGGATGCAACTTGTTGGGATACTGTGGCCGTGTCGCATGTGCATGCTAGCTCTCTGAAAGCCGGGAGTGTCGCACAACTGGCGGAAAATTTCAAGCGGCGGAAGTACGGCATTCGTCGAGGGCTTGGGCTATTTTTTATGGCACACCGACAACTCGCTGAGGGTCATCTTGCTGACCAACCACTTGCTGACGACTATTTGCTGACCGACAAAATGTTGACCCGACAGTTTGTTGAAACAACAAATCGGTGAACGACATTTTGCTGAACGACAGTTCGCTGACACCGACGATTTGCTGACGACATTTTGCTGACTGACAGAATGTTTACCCGACAATTTGCTTACTTACTAAATTGTTGACCGACATTTTACTGACGGACGTTTTATGAAAATACCGACAACTCGCTGACCACAAATTTATTCTGTTACCCATCAAATCCTTGTGAAACTCAATTTTTTAATCACGCGTTTTTATTTTAAAACTTCACCGAAACACGTTTTAAAAACATTTATCTGTAAAGAAATAAAAGTTCATTAAACATTTCCGCTCACTCAACGGTACCTTCAATTTATGTAATTATGATCGAATACCACAACCAGGTCTCCTGCTATTGACAGCTGCCGGATTATGCAGCAATCAGACAACTCCAGTCCTCCATTTCTCCTTATTTCTGCGAACGCGTTCGAATAAATTTCATAAAACATCTAGGAAACAAAAGAAAAATAATAAATCTAAGAAACCCGAGAAACCTGAGAAACCTGAGAAACCTAAGAAACCTAAGAAACCTAAGAAACCTAAGAAACCTAAGAAACCTAAGAAACCTAAGAAACCTAAGAAACCTAAAAACCTAAGAAACCTAAGAATCCTGAGAAACCTGAGAAACCTAAGAAACAAAGAAAACTAAGAAACCCAAGAAACCTGAGAAACCTGAGAAACTTAAGAAACCCAAGAAATTTAAGAAACGTGAGAAACCTAAAAGACCGGTGTAATCATTAAAACATTTTGAACAGTTATTAATAAATAATTAATATTGGCTGAGACAATAACATACTCGTGAACTTAATACGGCGTAATAAATGGCAAAAAGTTATATTTCAGTCATGACTGTCATAGCATTGCTTCCTTTTTACGAAACCAACGAAGATTCTAGTTTTCGCGTAAATATCGCTAATGTGCGTTGAACTGGTCAGCGAATTGTCGGTCAGCAAGTTTTCGTCTTCTACAAGTTGTCGGTCAGTGAGTTGTCGATTACCGACATTTCGCTGAACGACAAGTAAGCTGTCGTTCAGCAAATTAGTTTCAGCAAGATGTCGGTCAGCCAGTTTGTAAAAAAGCGAACTGTCGGTCAGCGATTTGTCGGTCATCAAATTGTCGGGCAGCGGAATGAAGGTCATAGAGTTGTCGTGCTATCATTTTTTCTACGCTCTGGCGGTCGAGACGTTCGGAACTTTTGGAACATCGTTTGCGGAACTGATTCGTTTTGTTGGCCGAAAGATCCGCGACGCTACAGGAGAGCCTAGATCCACGGCCTTTTTAAGACAGCGATTAAGTTTGGCTGTAGTAAGAGGAAACGCAGCAGCTGTTTTGGGTACCTTGAGTGCACATCATAAGATTTTGAATGACAATAATGATTATGGGTGTTTTTTCAATGTTTAAAATTTAATCATTTTAATTAGTGTATACCTGCGGAAGCATACCAATATGTGGATTGGCTGTTGCCCATTAAAAGAAAAAAGAAGTAGCAGCAGCAGCAGCCAATCGGGCTACTGCTAAAGAAATCGATTGCCATCCGACTACTTTCGAGCAGTTTGGCTGCCTGCTGAGGTCAAGCTGAATGGGCTTCCTTGTGTGCGGTTTCGCAAAAGGTCGGCCTACTTAGCTTCAGGGCTTGAAGACTACCACTAGTCAATCTACAGAAAGTACTGGCCATTCAACCAGTGACCTTGTTAGTGCAGCATTGACGGTTGTGCCTTTCGAATTTTCGGCAGACTTGTTTGTCGTGTTTTTGGGGTATGGTAAGGTATGTTATGTGCGGACGTCTTTTTACATTATTTGAATGTTGAATGACCCATTCAATCATTTCATTCATGCGGCATGCCTAGCACCGCCAATATGCTCAGCCAGGCAAGTCCACATCATTCCAGCAGAGTGCTACATAATTTGCACATGGAAATATTCCCCAATTCCGTACCACTGCCCGGAATGGACCCGGCAGCGCACATAACGCTGCTGCACCTGCGCCACTTTAGTGCAAAGGTCATCGCCGACCGGCGCACAGTGGGCGTTGACGGTCCACGTGAAAAAAATATTATTCTTTCATGGTTTGCTGGTTTAAAGTGTTCTCTTTTATTATTATATTTTTTCGTTAATTCTGCTGATTTGAAATGCTGCGTGCTGTGTGTGCTCGTACTGACCGTCCACGTGCTGCTCGGCACGAAGCGATAGTTTACGTGCACACTATTGCAGATGCTGTAACGGCATCACAGTGACCAGACAGGGTTTGCCGCGCAACTGCAACGTCCGGTGTTGACGGAACACTGGAGTCCCGGTGGCTGAAAAGTGAGCCGGTGCGAGAATGCAGAAAAACATACGTGGATTAACCGTTCTAATGCAATTAACTCTTCTATGTGGTGCCTTTACGTGACCGTTGTATCCCTGGGTGGTCTATCCGACGCCGCGTTTGCTCGTCTGCCGGCTTCGCCGTGGACCGCGATCCCTGTTCACCTGGACCTCCACACGCAGACGACCGTCAAAAGGTCAGTGACTACAAACCATTGCCCGCCCGAAAGCCTGTACACCACGCATGACCTTTGTCACCTGCAAAGTGTGTGCACTGTGGCAGCAGATCCTCAGCGACCCGCGCAACACCCAGCACGTCCACCTCTCCTGCCAGTCGTGCAGCAACGATGCCGCAAAATGCCGCAGTAGGCGGAAATCGGGATCATACCGCAGTATTTCGCCGCAACCGCTCCACCACGAAAAGCCTGACGGTCTTCGCACCACGGAAAGACTGCCAAGCCACTTTCGTTTTACTCGACTTACTGAATGTTGCGAACGGTCTGACAATGAATTCGATCTGACATCCTTGTGTATAGTATATTTGTGGAACTTGTTAATTTTATTCTGTGTTAAGTGTTGTTTTTGCTACTATATGTTAAGCTGAAACTCTTTTTCTTATTTAATTTTCTTGTCTGCTCCAATTATCATACGGTGCAATGCACAGTGTGCCCCTGCCGGAAGAAATCTGGGTGAATAAAGTTGTCTTGTTTTAATTGTCTTGGTTCAGTTGACGGCAGTCGTTATTCGAATCCTCTGAACTCGCGTCCGGGTCAAACTTGTGCGATAACCGCGCTGTAGACAGAATTTGTGACTGCAGTATAAACGTTTGTCGTCTGACTGTTTCTACCACCATTCTTCCCATTCACGTCATTTAAGTGATGCAGAGTTTAATTTTAATGTTTAAATTTTAATTTAAAATTGAAACAATTTTTTAATGTTTAAACTTTGAATGTGATGTAGTGTGCCCGAGCCTGCCTTTTTGTTATTTGATGGCTGTTACCTAATCAAAACAATGCAGTGATGCAGTTACAGCAGTAGCACTTCCGGTTCACGAATTGCTCGGGATCTAGTGTATTACCGTATTTATTATGATAATATTAATAACATTAATAATAATAACATTATTATCTGCTTCATTAACTGCAAAAATTATTAATAATCCACTCAATCCAGTAACACTTCCGGTACAAGTACACACTTGGATCTAATCCCGGGATTTGCAGTTTTTATTACTTAAATGTATCACGCACTACCACTTCCGGTCTACAAGTTTGTTCTGATCTTATTCTGGGTTTTTCTTGGGCTTACAAGATACGTAGTTAGTAGAATTTGTTGTACGTCTGATATTATGTATATTTTTAATAAGATTAATCTCGTGGTACTTGCTGCTTCCGGTCCTTAATTTCATTCTGCACTTTTCATAGTATTACTTTGTTGTTAAGTTATCCAAATTTAAATAGCGCGGTACCACTTCCGGTCCACAATTTATTCGGCATTTATGCATGTTACGTAAGATTTATTTGTACTTGAAAATGCTGTCTTTTGCTGTCTTCACTCAACAATGTGCCATAAAATTATTAGAAAACACGAATAAAATAATCAAAACGTATTTAACGTTGGCAGTATGATTTAATTTTCGGAACAACTCCAATAAAAATTCGTAAAAAACTGTGTTAAAGTTCTTGTTGCATATGGCAGCGGGAACAAAAATGTAAAAATGCACCAATAAAAAAAATTAAAAAAAAGTTTTATTGTTGGCAGTGCGGAATAAAAATTAAAACATGCCAATACAAATCACGAAAAATTTCCCGTCATTATTATTTGCTAGCAAATTATAATTTGATAAAAATTTAATTCTTATATACATACTGTGTCATTGCTAGGAAATGAACATGTTGCACTGTGTATTAAGAACCGTATTAAGAACCGATGAGACGCCCGCTAGCAGCAGCCGTGATCAGACAGCACGTTGCGCAGTCGCAACTGCATGCGTACAGTGCTTAGTGCAAGCTAGTCGACCCGGGCAAGGCTGCACTGTCACGCATGGAATGGAGATCCCGGCCTCGACTTTGTAAAAACGTTCGGTAGAAAATCTCGATCGAACTTGGTTACTGATTTTTCCAGTGCGTTATAATGATATGATTATTATTGTTCACATTCACTAACTATATGACCGAGGATTTTTTTAACCATTTGGACGGTAAGTTGCAGAAACGTAAATTACAGATATTATGTTACCATTTTGTTTGCACGAGAGCATAGAAATAACGTATTGAATTAAAGCATGTCGAAGGCGACTGCATTAAATGCCCGTCTTTATTGAAATTTGAAAAATTATGGCCATTAATCCATTGTAAAGTTGCTGATACAGTGATACGAGTACTTGATATTTGATTACTGTTTTTAGGAAGACTGGCAAAAGTTTACTACTTTTAGAAGCCGATACTCATGCACTTAGTGTATCGTACATCGTCTTATTAGTTGCTACACTGCGACTTGATGCCTGTAGCCATGAATAAGAATTATTAGCAGTTAATTGTCATTATCCTGTCGTTGGATTCGATAACCTAAAAGTAAACCTACATTCTCCGCAGAGTTACGATCGGCAAATTTTCAGCAGAGTTAATAGGTATTCAACTACTGCGTAGTATCGATAGAATCTTAGGAATATGCAAAACTTAATGCTGGTGCTGTGTAAACTCTTAGTGGCTGAAAATGAAATTTGAAGTTGTTGCAGTTATTACCAATTATTATAAAATTATCACAAGAACAGCAGCAAAACCGCATGTAAAGACTCGCATTATGAAAGAGACTATTATTTGGCTTCGCAGTATGTCTAAATTCATATTTCAGCTTCTCATGAACTTGTGTAGAATGTGTGAAAAAATGTTTGTTGCTTCTATAGCTATTAAAGTACTAAGATAAAAAAAAATATTTCAGTTATTGTGTTGGGTAGTACAACTTCTTCACAATATATAGAGCATTTATTTTTACCACTCGTTTTTGAAGATTGACTTATATTTGCTTACTTTCGATAGTTTTCGTGGACTTTGCTTTTCACTTATCCGGCAGCAGATTTACTTACTTCTACTAATTGTTGTACTTTATTTCTCAATATGTACAAAGCGAGCTTCGCTCAACAACAATTATAATCAAATGAAGAATTTGTAGTCGACTAATTGTGTCCCCAAAACCAATTTGAAATGAAGCAAATGAATTATCAGACTGATTTAGGATTTTTGTCAAAATAAGCGCATACAGCCGCAAGTATCAGGATGTACCGTATAATACAGGGTCGAAGTTATTAGGTAATTCAAAAAAAGTTGCAAAATCACAGAAAATTCGAAGAATATAAATACACATAAAGAAATGAAAACGTCAGAGAGATTTTCACAACCAGTCATTAGATTGTAGTCGCACGCACAAAAAGGCTTACGATAGACGGTACGATATACGATAGGCTCTTGCACGTCATCACAGCGTACCCTTACCGGACCGTTTGACGATAGGATTGACGGTAAAAGGCTCAGATATCGTCGAGCATACCGTTGTGCTCAGCGATATGGCAACCACTCGCGGTGGCGGTGGCCTCCATAACAACGGCTGCAGTTGCCAAAACACGAAATTTTTGAATTGGTAGAGTAAGCTTTAAGTATTCTTGATTAACAAGCAGAGTAAATCAAAAGAAGGATAAAATTATTTGAAGTTTTTTGATACCAAGTGGGAGCGGTTTGTCCAAAAATTCACGATTCTGCAGCCATTTGCGTTTACCATGCTAAGCTTACGGAGCAGTTGGAGTACTCTGCGCGAGCTGTTCACTCAGATTCCGTAGACTTCTGTGTTAATTAAAAATGCTCCTAGAAACGTTCACTGGCGCTCAGATTTAGATGTTCTGATATCGAAAAATAATCTGGAATTTCAGTTTTGATATGACTTACAGCTGGACACAGTTTATCTCATACAAAAGTGCCAAGGCTGATTGAAACTTTCACGTTTCTTCACGAAAGCATGACTCGACTGGATTACACCGTTTGTGATGAGTGCGACAGCTCTAATGTGCTAACGATACGGTTCCGATACGGTGTCCCACCGTATCGTTTACCGGACCGTATACCGGGACTGTATTGCGACTACAATCTGTAAGATTGTAGTCTAAAAAACCCCGTACACTATACTAAATTATTTAAAAGCAAGGATGGAAGGGAAATTCTCATTCGCATTTTTCTTATAGTTATATTAATCTTATTATTATTTCTTATAAAGAAAACCAAAACGGAACTGGTTAATTAAGCGCTAACTCAGCCAATCAGATATATATTATACGTATATGTGTATATATGTTGAGCAATTTTTGCTGCGGCGATTAAATTTTGTTAGTAAGTGTTACAAAAATATTCAAAAAAATTTTGATTTTCCGACAAATACTCATAAAACAGTAAAATATCCAGCAAAAAATGCTCAAGAATATCCGGCATAAAAATTAAAATCCAGCAATCATGTATAACACTTGTGATTTAGGCTCACAGCCATCAGTTTCAAATATTTGAATATTCGTAAAATTAGTGAAAATTATTTCGAATAAATAAAATAAAACAAATTTATTAACAAAGGAATCAGTATTTATGGCATGGTTGGATTTCGATAAAATAACTAAATAATTTATATAACTCCAGACAGCTTTTAAAGGTCACTGTTCGTTGAAAGCATTACAAATAATTGAGACACTTTTCAAAACACGAAGCGCAAATATCAAAAAAGCCATGCCTGTGCATTTTTGCAGTTTACGGACAGATTTTTGCATTTCAATTGTAGAACGCTATAGGAACTCATTCAAGCCAGTACCGACGAATAAAATAGCAAGCTATGGAAACCTGATTCGGTGTAACATCAACGATCCCGCTGATGTGCTACCTTGGAAAATTTGAAGAAAACCGGTTGATAATGAGGCTTTTAGTATAGTTTCCTGCGTTTAAGCTTTTGGAATTTTATTTCACCGAGAACTCTCCAAACGGACGTGTTGCGAGCACAAACGGTTTTCACGCCAATGTGCAGTACGATATACAAATCTTAGTTTTGGGCACAAAACGCTCTAAGACTCATGCAGCAAAGTAATTCAGAATCATAAATTTAGCCGCGGAAGTTTTCGTACATGTACAGACGCTCTAGTGTGGTACTCACTATATATGTACCGTGAAGAATTCCAGAATTAAGATGAATCTGCATTCCGTGCCGTTTCTTCGATCGGTAAGCGACTTCGCACTCCGCACACTAAAAGTACTGCCAGAATTTTAGGAACTTTCAAAATTTTGTTACTGGATCTGATATGCGTAAAAATCAATGCGGCGGCTAAGAAAGAGTGGCGAATTTAAGAGGGGGCACCCCTACTAATAATATTTACGTGAAACCACAAATCTGTGTGTTTCGGGTGAGCGAAACACAAAAAACGGCATGTGATACACAAGAGTGCATGTCGATTCACTCAAATCACTTTCGCGCCGACTGATAACGTCTGGGCAGTTACGTTTTATCTGGTGCAGCATGAAAGCTGTCGTGATATAACATATTTCTTTCGGAAAACACAAAAACCGATTTCAGCTGACAAACATTTGCCGGCAACTGAGCTTTACATTGCCACTGTCCAAACTCAAACCATTATGTGCTGTTTCATTATTTTATTTATGCTTGTATCTGTACAGAAGCAAAAACGCTCATGTTCATACACCTTTATTGTAAAAAATAATTTAAATTACCCTTGCACGTACACGTGGCATGAGCGTACAATACAACGATGATTAAGCTATACGTTAATTAATGCCTATGCATAAGTCTGCTATACACTTTACGTCTGCAAATCGCCCTCTGCACTAATTAGAATGCATGGCGCTGAACTGTGTATTAAGGATAAATTGTCAAAGACCGAACACAAAACAGTAAACAGTAAGTTCAATTTTGCTCATGGGGCGTTGTGACTTTTATTATAATCATTACAGCGATTAACTTAATACTTTACGAAAAGCATTGGCTACAGAGTCTTTCTTTCTTAATATAGAAAGGTCATGTATTAATTAATTAATGCATGTGCTGCTGATATTCGTATAAAGCCATGCAGTAATTGAGAGTGCATTTTGTACGTAGGTGCGGTGTATACTCTATTGTACGTTGCGACCGTGTACCTTGAAAATTAGGCTTTTATTATTATTGAATATTTAAGTTTTTACCTAATAATAACTGACTACAAAATCCTTTCTACTTGTTTTTCGTATTCGGACAATCTGAAAATATCGATTCACGTACTGGACAAAGCATTTTCCATGTTGTTCCACTTGATAAATAATTATCAAAAACTGAATATGTAATAATTATTATTTTATGCAAGCTTGTTTACGAGAATAATAAAGCCACTTATCACGCCTTCTAATGTGGAATATTAAAGGAATGTCGTGTCTGTGGTGTCCGGTTTGCAAATCATATTGTCAAAGTGTCCGGAATGCGAAAAACATCGAATAACTACAGAGTACATACACTGAGTACACTGTAATTATGAATTAAACGCAAATTTCATGACCTTTGTTCCTAGCATCAAGCATGCTAGCCAGAACCGCAACGATCATAACGGCTGTTTCACTATATTTTCCGTAGCAGTGGCAGCACAAAAGCTAAAATTAGCACTTATCCTAATTAAATTATTAACCTTTGAAAAGTGCTGCGCACAATATTGCTTTGTGACATGCACCGGTTAAAGACGGCATAATTATCGCAAGCGCGCACGTACGCGTAAGGAGTATCGATGCGAAAAAAGCATCTTATCAGTAATTCACACAGAGTCGCGCCGTAACGGCTGCGGATTCCATGCGCTGCTATTGCGCGCGGCAAAACTTGACAGTGATATCCTAAGTCATACTTGACTTTTTAGTTTTCAGTCGAACGCATTCAACACCGCATTGAACCATGTAAAATATTTTGTTAATCCGCTGCTATATATTCAAAATTTATCTATCCGGCAGCTAATGATTAATATGAGCTAATGTATTAGCAAATTGGCAACATTCTCAAAGACATTTAGTCAAAGATATTGACATCGTTTCAACCGTTTTTCTGGGCAGTGTCGGGTAGCCGCAGTGCAGCTGTATCGCCTTGCTTTAACTTTTGATCGTCGATAATGTGCAATGCACTTTTATTGCCTAATTGCACCATAATCCAAGTGCACCTGTAGTGCTATCAAGTAAGGTTGTGCTGGATGCCGATGGTTTGTTACCGGCCTAACGCACAGAAAACTGGGAGTTTGTTAAGTTTCCAGGAGTATTCCGAAATGAAATCAGCTGTATATAACAGTATTTAATTATGTACGGATTGTACACGTTCGTTACCGTTTTATCAAGCGCGAACTATTAATTCGTTCAGACACAAGTAGGCAACAATCACACCTGCACTCAAATCGTCATTAAAACTTTGACTTACCACAAAACAAATGCAAAAATTCATAATTAGTAATACACATACTTAGAAGACAGTCCCAACATTTTCTGTGCGACCAGGATTTATGCAATTTCTACCGGTATACTTCATGTCCGACATCGACAAAATTTGTATCGTTACAAAATTTGGTTTTTTTCCGCCAAAAAAGTGCTGATTTAAGGGGTACTGTGACCCACGCGAACTACGAGTGACTACACATGTGGATACAAGTACCAAAATAAATATCAATCACCTGTCTACTTTTAATGGGGCACGGGAGGCTGAAAACCAAACCCGAGAAAAACTACAGAAATTATTATTTTTAGTAAAATTTCCAGCGATTTTTGCAATCGCAAACCGTTTGTACGTCGGCAGCGGTCGGCTTCCCGCTAATCGCAAATTTAGTACCTCTTTAATGAATAAAACTTAGTTAACGTTAACTGTGTGTCTATAGGTACTTCGTCCCACAATATCTATGTTTCATATAACCATAGCACAAAATAAATCTTATTCTTGTATTAAAATAAGCCGTGTTCCAAGGGGAACTTCTGCAAAGCTTGAAACCGTTTTTATCGAATTTTTGGAAATTTCAGCAGTAAGAACATGTGCATGCTTTGCGCGCAAATTAACTTTTTCTCTAAATTCAGTACATATACTGTACATGATAAAGCATTGCTTTTGACCTTTAGTAACGTCCACTGCAAAAGAAATTTAATTATGCTTAACATTTTTTATGAACTTTCTCGCAGTTTCCGCAGTGGAAACGTTTGCTGGCCTCGCGCTTCGTGCGAAAATGCCCACTCCATGTAATTTTTGATTTCACACCTTGCTGTACAAAATTTTGAACCGGTTTTGCTTTTTTTCTTTAATTTTCGACAATTTTGCAGCACGCTATGTTGCTGTTTTCTCGATTCTCGGTGCCCCTCCCACCTAAAACCAGGGCGCTATCCACTGGAAACCGAAATACGGCTGAAAAAGGCGCCGATGGGGGAATCGAACCCCGGCTACGTCGTTAGATCCGCGTAGGCAGTACCACTGCACCACGGCGCAATACGCTGAAATCCTTTGAAAGATTTTGTCGCTTTACGTGAGCCGCATCTCTGCTCACCCACCCAAAGGAGTTAAATTCCCTTATGGCAGGAAATGCATATATGTTTTACACGTCCTACAAGTACTTTATTTTCGTACTTTTTTGTCACGAACTAACTCCGCCCCTTCACGTACAGATAAATCGGACGGGAGAATAGGAGGCCGAGACGTCCACTCAAACAAATGTTAGAGTCTAACTGGAGACTTACTGCTTCCCGCAAAACGTCTCACAGTGTCAGCGGGCCTAGACAGAAGTTGTCCACCAAATTCATAAGCCAACATTACAAGAGAAAAACCTTCATAAACCAACATGCGTTGGCATTTGACTGTATATTGCGTACTATCCGTGAGCCTATTTTGTCGTACAACTTGTGAGGCGGACGAGGACGGTAACGGAAATTACACTTAGTTATTTTTGTTACTCTCGCTCCCGTCTGGCAATGCACGCAGCGTGCGTTTTTCTTGTATTGTTCTCACTGCTACTAACCAGGGCACATTTTCCGGGTCCAAATTCAGAAAAATCTGATCTTTGGCATAAACATAGTATACCATCGTAGTATATTAAAAAAATAATTTCAGCTGCTGACACTCAAAGGGCGTGGCCAAACAAAATTAATAAGTAAGTAATACTGCATGTTATTATTTTGCACTAGCGTTATACCCGCACAGGCTTTTATAAAATGACAGCATATCAGGAAAATTTCACCTCTTGCAGAAACGTACTTTTGCCACATTCTGATTAATGAAAAATTTAATGTGCAAACTCTAAGACGACAGAGTAGAAAAACCGTTTTGTAGCTGCGATTCTTTGCGGTAGTGCAACAGTATGTACCACATATTGCCACTGTATTTAATCTGGATTTTGCTTTTCCTCACTGTGTGCAGGTGCTCCCGAAACTTGTGGTAAATATTAGAGTTCATTATTTTTTAAACGTGCTATAGTCGTACACTGTCATTCGGCAAAAGATGAGAATTTTCTGATTTATTATTATTACACTGATACAAACAGCTGTTAGAGTACTAGACTAGTGCAGTGCAATAGTATGTGCTATTACTTAATTAATAATTATGTTTGGCCACGCCCTTTGAGTGTCAGCAGCTGAAATTATTTTTTTAAATATGCTACGATGGTATACTATGTTTCTGCCAAAGATCAGATTTTTCTGAATTTGGACCCGGAAAATGTGCCCTGGGAAGTACTACAAACTACAACTACAAAGAATCTGCAGTAATTGCCAGTTTGCCGTACTCAGTGGAAGCTGTTGCTAATCACCTTCGGTTGCTGCTTAGATCACTATGAACTCTTGGCCGATGCCCCCGTATGAGCGGCTGCTGGTGGATGTCAACCAGTTGAGCTATCACAACACGGTGGCGGTCCGCAACGAGGACGGTGCGTATTGGCTGGGCCACATTCAGGATATCGTCGGGGACTATACTCTCATCCACTTTGCCTGCAAAAAGGTCCACGCCAGCTGGATCCATGCGGGACGGGTGTGGCCTTTGTCGGCTCTTCGGTATAGCGATTGGAAAGACGTCCCCGTAATGGTGGCACTCCGTGATGAGGACGACGGGCCACTCCGCTTTCGCCGGGCGGTGGTACTCAATAATGTCACTTTTTTGGGCGAACCTAATATGTATTATATTAGAACGGATGTACCTGGGGCTAGTAGCGGGTCTTCCGCTGCTCGGACGGAACTGGTGGATGTATGCCAAATTGTCGGGCAGTCGGCGTGGGACGAGCCGGCGCTGCTGTACCGCAGTAGCGGTTTAATCTTCCGCAAGCACTTTATTCCGTTCGCCAGGGCGCAAGAGGTTCTGCGCGACCGCGCCGACAAGTCGCGTATAATCCAACGTTGCTGTAGAACGTATCGAAAGGATGTGGCATATATGGGTGGCTGTCCTTATTACGACCGATTCCATCTTCGCACTGAAGCCAGTGGATGCACGTTTATCATCATCAGCCGGGCAGGCGGCGTGGAGACCGAGCAGCAGTCGGTGGCAGCGCTGTCGGCACTGCTGCAAGCCCACGTGGACTCTCGGGCCGATCGGCCGCCCACTGATTACGGCGACCTTTGCGGCCATGGTCGCGGGCTCGGTGGCGAAGGTAAGTGCTACTCCGGTAGAGTACAGTAGTGATAATGAAGCCAGAGCAGGGCAATGACGGTGGCAAGAACATCCATAAAGTACAATCGACGGGAGCGCAGCGAAGGTCCTTTAATTCAGTAAAACTACGAAAATGTCTGTCTGTCCGGCTGTCTGTCTGTCCCGGAAGTGGAAGATAGGCCAAGGTCAAAAAGGGGAAGGAATATTTAAAGGAATGAATGTTTTTTGACCAAAAAGGAAGAAAATTGCGATGGTTTAAAAAAATGAAGGAATTTTCGTGGTCAAAAAAGGAAAAAAATTTCGATGGTCAAAAACAAAAAATTTTTTTGCAGTTAATGCGCTAAGAAAATTTTTAAAAAGTTTGGGGAATTAAGTACTTACGCGTTACTGTCGGTTTGATCAAGTAATGCAGATTAAGCGTTACAGCAAAACCTATTAATTTTGCGATAACAAGTAATTAAACGTGCTCTTAGTGTGCTTTGGTGCTAGGAATATTTTGTTGACAAATAACAGAAAAACGAATACTCAACAACAACAAATGCAGTAGAATTACATAACAACTACGGTAGTGCTGCAGTGCAGTACAACGTTATTTGCTTTGATGTGCTGAATCGTCGAGGCCTGAATCAGCCTCTTAATGAAAGAATAACAGCAGTGGCGGTCGCCTTTGATGCCCGATGAGGCAGCCCCATTTAAAAATCATATCCTGCTTAATACTTCCTGCTATTAATATTCCTTATTTACAGTGTACATACACCGCAGCACGTTAACTGTTAACGGTTAACACACAACAGACAAATGCTTTGCGTCGTTTTTGCGGGAGTTATAACTTTTTAGTCTGCGACTCTGTGTTCCTGCAACGATACGTGACTTATCAGTAGGAGTAAGGCGCCTGCCTTTTTTACAGAATGCACTCATATCAGAAGCAGTGGCAGATAGGGTAAGAAAGTTTGCATAATTATGCTGGCATGCGTTATTCCTCATTCACTCATTTCAGTAAAGCACCATGGGCATGGTGTAGTCTCACGTTCCGGTAGCAAATTCGTGGGTCATGTCGGGTTCTAGACAAATTCTCGCAAATACCAATTAATGTGACTAATGTAACAGACAAGCACGAGGAGATCACGAGTGATGCTTTATTGACAAATAAAGGGGAACAATGCTGCGTAATAGCAGGAAAGCAAGAACAAAGCCGTGATGGCTAAATCTAGCAAGTGTGTGCCAGGAAGGTTCTTGAGCGTCTGTCCAGACGTGAAAGAAGCAACTGGCGGCAAACACGTGCTGTGTGCCATCAGCTGTGTGATGATGCGCAGACTGGACTCTATCCAACGCGAGCGTATGAACGCTGAGTCGTACTGCGAGAGAGGAACGAGAGAGCAAGTGTGGCTCAGTGTATGCGCTGCGTATATCCGCTTCAGCGGATATGAGTGCAGTGCAGCAGCACACGTACGTACAGCGAGAGAGGCGATAACGGCAAGCAATGGTGCAAGTACGTCCAGTGTGGGCCGTACGCACCAGGCGCAGTCGTGTGCCTCTGACACTAATTAATGTAACAATTAATTTGGCTTATTAATGTGACGCAACTACAGCTAATAATAAGTATGGAGCCTCCTGCTCACGATGATGATGTTGAGTATCTGTACATACGAATCCATCATTGTGATTATAACAAACGGACACCGGCACCTCAGTTGACAATACATTTTACACTTTAAGAACTCAAAGTTATCGTAGAGTTTCGGAGAGAACTATTAATTTTGACAGCAGTTAATTTTTCGTTGGTTTGACAACAATTAACATCTCCTTGATCCTATTTTGTTCAGCTGATATGTAGTGTACATTGTGGAATTTGTGGTCAGATGCACTTACTAATTTTGTGTTTACTTAAGTACTTCTTTTGCGGTTGCTTATTTTGTGGCATGTTAACCTATCTTTGTGAACATACTATGGTTTGTTTAAGTTTAACACTGAATCTTTGGATTTGCAGCATAAATTTGATAACAGTATAATCGAAAGACCGCACCATTATTATTTAAACGCCAGACTTCTAAAACATTCTATAAGAACAGTTTGCGCCGTACGTAATCTTACCGTAAAATTAACAGGTAACGCTTATTCTGCATATTATAACGCTCATTCTGTAACGCTTATTCTGCATTACTTGATCAAACGGACAGTAGCGCGTAAGTACTTAATTCCCCAAACTTTTTAAAAATTTTCTTAGCGCATTAACTGCAAAAAAATTTTTTTTTGACCATCGAAATTTCTTTCTTTTTTTGACAATGAAAATGTTTTTCATTTTTTTTACCATCGAAATTTTCTTCCTTTTTGGTCAAAAAAAACATCCCTTCCTTTAAATATATTCCTTCCTCTTTTTGACCAAAAAAATTTCCTTCCTTTAATTATTCCTTCCTTTTTTTGACCTTGGCCGGAAGATAACTTTCTTATTACGCAATCACTTCCTTATTCTGCAACCTTCTTATTACGTCATCACTTCTCTATCCTGTAGGCCAAGGTCATATTCCTTCCTCTGTTTGACCATGGAATTTCCTTCCTTTAATTATTCCTTCCTCTTTTTGACCTTGGCCATCCTGGGGCCAATAATTAAAAGTTTCTGCCCAGCTTCACCAGCTTGTAATGTCATGACCAACGATAAGTGGGACAAAATTACGTGACGAAAAAACTCTAAGGGGAACCAATGCGATAAAACTTCGTATAGTGCCAATTTGTTTTAAAAAACCTTTCGCATTATTCCGCAAGCTTGGTTCCGGCCACATTTCCGTTTTGTCTTCCATCGGCATAAAGACGAAACAACAGCATTTCAGTGAACCAAGGAAGACCATCAAACAGCCATGTATAAATAAATCTCGTACATGGCTCGTTAAACGGCTACGCGACAGGTCGTCGCGGGACATTTGGTTTTACGGACATTTTGTCTATGGGCAACTCGCTTTTGTTTCAAATAGTCATAATTATGACTGTTCGTTGCTACAAATCAGTCGATAATTTTTCTTCGTATCCCAAAAAGTCGCGTGGCCAAATGTCACACAACAAAACGGCTGCAAAACGCGTTATCGCAAAACAAATTAGCCGCTGCGACGAAAAACGTGTGGCGAAATGTCCCACGATGCAATGTCCCGCGACCACTTGGGCTGTCACGCGTTAAACGCACCCTTCGTACGCCAGGAAAAATGCAACGGTTCGTCAAGTAAATACGAAGTAAAATAGCCGATGACGAGCAACCTCCAACCAATCACGCTGCGCTCCGCTCTACCTATGCACGCAAAAGTGCAGCTTCCTAGTGATTTATAAAAAACAGTACAAGAGCCGACTTTGCTTCCTTTTTGAATTTACTGTACTAGTAGAAAGGATGCGCAGAGTCAAAACGCGGACTTACATCGAGCAGCAGCGACTTACATCGAAACGAGAAATAGGCGTACCAAGTCCCGATTGGCTGGGCTTCGATGTAAGTCGCTTTTTGCTCGATGTCTGTCGGGGGGCGTCAACGAAAACCGTTACGAAGATAGGCGTGCCTTGTAACGGGTCTAAGCGACGCCCAGCGACTTACAAACTTCGCGTTTCTGCGATTTCATTGGTGGGTCAGCATGTTGAGTTAGATCGAGGCTGCCCACCGCCAATAGTAAAATTCGAAACCACGTGATTTTTTCCCCATACTTAAAGTTACCAACGGATTTATCGCAATGCGAAGACTAGTTTTCTTGCCTTCTTTAGAAGCTTCTGCTCTAAACTTGTTAAAAATTAGTGTTTATAATAATTTTTTTAGTAGATGTAGATTTAACTTACTAGGTTCTAGTGGAGGAAAGCCTGCATTCTGGGATCCCAGAATATTAGTGGCGAATGTTGGTGCTTGGCTCAGATACGTTCCTTCTCCCTGGTCACATCAGAATGTCTTAATCATCTTTTAACACTGATCTTGATTATCGCCAAGAGTATTACGAATTAAAAAAAAGGCCACAAGGTTTTAGAATCCATGTGGCTTTCTGTGTGATTTGTAATATTCTTGACACTTATTGCCGTCGCATCGCAGGGAACCCTGCTTGCTGGCTACCCAGCCGTAGGTACTGCCTTTTGTGTTTTCTACTGAATTTGACTTAACACTCAACTGCCAGTTATACTGCTGGACAGCCCTGTACACAGTTCGGTAAGTCAACTATTAGCATTTAATAATTTAAATTTATGTAGACTGGTATGCTGTATGAGTCTATGAGTTGGTCGGATTTTTTTCTGCATTTTCTAATTGAATCTGACATGAAGTTATGTTGCACTGTGTAGCAATGTTGCGGGTTCCCGCTTTTGATCTGGCTACCTAGAAGCGTTCTTAAATCTAACTTTACTTCTTATTCTTTACTTCTTGATCTTAATTATTTTAATTATTCATTCTGCGCTTTGTTTGGGTGCTTTTCGACAGTGAAGTGAGTGAAGTGAAGGTTGTACTTATAGAACTATTTACGGTGAAAAGATGACAATGATGTGGTTGAACTTTGAAAACACGTTGTCAGCGCAGTTTTGAGTTTTTTATCGAAGTCTGTGCGTCATGGCTGTTGTGCGCACGCGGTCAGGTTTATCCCGTACATACTTACACGCAAGCTGTGCAAAAAGGCGCGGTTTTGCCTACTTTGTATGTAAGTGCATGGTGAAATTCGATGTAAGTAAGTGCGCGATGCGCCTATGCGCAATTGGTAAAGTATTTACGCTTCGAAATTCACAAGCAAAATGCAATCGTTTTTCTGTATACTTTGGGTTGTTAACAAATTTTAACACTGGTATTGTGATAATGCTTAGTTTCTTGACCGTTTGCGAATAGTGCTCGTCACTGATTTAAAAATCTTTAGCAGTGTTTTTGGCAGTTTTGCGCAAATTGTTGTCTGCTTTTAGATATGCGAGCGGCTATACAATCTTCGGACACTGTGATCAGTGATCTACCGCTTCTCCTGCTCTGCGAAGTTTTTGCTCATCACGACCTGCACTCCTGCATGAGGCTTAAACGGTACTGTAGGGATTATCCCGTGAGTAGCGCACCCATTAGCGAAAATCGAAATTGACCGTTGCGCCGGTTGAATTAGTCTCTAAGCACTGCGAATAGGCTGCATTTGCAAGCTACAAAACGTGTCATAATAATTTGAATAAACCTGAAGAGTCTAATAATGCTTGCAATTCTAAGCTGTGTTGTATCATTTGCCTGCTGCAGCGGAGTTTTCTCAGTTTGATAATGAGCGTGTGTTGTGTTGGGCCAGTTAAATTTCCTTGCCGACTTGAGAGTATGTCAAACACAGCAGTTTCATGGGCTACCTGCTAGTCTGCTACCGAGATGAAATAATTGCAGCGACCTTTTCAGAAGCGACATCTACTGGCGAAGTGCTTTTAGAGCAAGTCCGGCTAGGACATCAGAATCGGGGAATCTTTTAAATCTAGAAAAATGGTAGCACTTAGAACACCAGTGGTTCTCTTTCCCCTAACTTCCCCTAACATGGGCGACTCACTGACGAGGCGGTTGCCGTGTAGTGCGTGTGGGGATGGACTTTTTCAGGAGGGGAATGTTGCGTCAAAGTTGTGCCCTCCGAAATGGTATTTGTTCCCAGAAATGAGCCTTTGCTGACCTCCACCATGGCGTTCAAGCGTACTCACCCCGAGGGTGCAACTTCGATAATTAATGTGCGGTACAACCTGCATTCCTGATTCTGTCAAAATTCAGTGGAGCTAGGGCGCAAGTTGCAGTTCTAATTTTTTAACCGCGTGCATGGTGTTTTGAACGTTTTACTGCGCAGTATAGGTTATAATGTTGATTGGGCTGTTGTTGCAGAGTGTGTGCGCTATGGCTTGCGCTGCTCAGCCGTCCTCAAGCAACGGAGCACATCAGCATCTGCTTTGAAACCTGCTCTTGCACCAAAAAGTCTCCCGATTTGAACTACGGTAAAGTCGCGTCTCTCCTGAGCCGTACGGTCAACGCAGCGACCAAAAGTATCACGGTGCTGCAGCTGTTCAGCAGTCCCGCTCGTTTGAGAAACCTGTTAGTAGCCATGGGAATCACCGTACCGACCATAATGTTCAAAGGCTGTACGGTTACAACATGTGCTCCATATTCGATATATCGCTGTTACGGCGCGGAACCAGATCGACTGCGGTACGCAGTGGCGATGCAGCCGGCCGAGTTTGACGCGTGCTGTCGGCGTGTTCTGCTGTACAACTGGACCGTGTATGAAATGTTCGGCGATGCCATCTTCGAGCTGCTCTATTGTTCCACCCCCCACGTCATCGACGATTTAGTTCCTCTGCCCCCCGACGAAACGCAGTGGATGGCGCGCCTGAAATGCCGTGCTCACGTCGGCGTCCTGGCGGGCGAGGCCCTGCGTATCACGATCCCGCAGCTGGTGCTGCACAGCAGCGATGGCCACGAAAGCATGGCGCAGCGGTTCATGTGGGCCTTGGACAGCCACTTCCCGCCGCTGACCGACGACGTCTACGCCAAGGTCACGGCCGTGCATGCGCGCTGGGTGCGCAATCTGCAGTATCCGGCTGAATGGGACAGGATCCGAGCCTATCTGACAGTGTGAGTTGCGAAGTACAGTATGTATTGTACAGCTTGTGTTTTAGGGAGTGGAGAAGCAGCATGAACTTGATGGTTTATTTTTAATCTGTGCATAGTTTGCCGTTTACCATTATACTGTAGTCTGGAGCCGTCCGCACAAGTTAAACCACAGAGTCGATAGGTATACCGGAAGAAGCGCAGCAAATATACCTACTCTAAACGTGCCAATAATGCCGCCAATCAGAGTTTCTTTTAATAACTGAGTTTATTTTACTAAGTTTCTATCCCGCTCGTCTTTGTCACTGTAAACCCACCTGCGCTTCACAGCTAAGCTCACGCCCGGCAGTGCCGACATTTCCATCAACAGCCCACACAACATCGTGGTACGGTCAACAAGCAGCCCATTAGAAGGCCGGCATAACAGCCCGCGTTACAGTATCCAGCATGCCCATAATATGTATCAACTATTACGTGTCTTTTGCCGGGGCGGACGAGCCAATGACGCCGCCAATCAGTGCTTGGGATACTACGGTAGTAAGCACATGGCGTGCATTGTTTTTCTAAAATCATAAAGAGAAACTAAAACTGCACGGGTTTGCGTGAAAAAGTTCCAAATGACTGTCGTTCAACACTGGCAGTGATCAGCTAGTGGTCACGGACGATCTGCCCCCTTTGGGTGTGAGGCTGGAAAGAGCTGGGTCGCAGAAAATAGGGTCGGTATCAGACGGTCAAAACACAGTTGTCGCGTATGTTGGGCGCCCGTGACCGGAAAGTTGAATGCGGCTAAACCAGAGACAGTCTTACAACTGCAACGTTAGTTGACCTCGGATCTGTGGTTAATTGCAGATTCAGTGGGTTCCACGCCGACGGCACGCCAAAGGGATGGAACGACGTGGATCTGCGCACTGAGGATGTGCGCACCTGGAGCCGATTGGCCGTGTGTGGAATCAACGACGTATTTCGTGTTTGACAAGTAGCGGCTCGTGCAAATAGTTTTGTAGCCGCTCTCACATGAGTTACAGGCCAAGACCAGTACCACTAAACCTCGCCTGGGCGCTAAACTTTTACCGATTCTTATGTTTTTTTGGTAGCGATACACTACTCGAGGAATCCGATGGGTTTCTCGCGTTAGCGGTAATAAGAGAACATTTGCTTATATTTGGAAGCAGGAATTGCGGTTGCTTTTGTATTGGTTAGATTTCGAGTGTGATCTATACTGCTTGCCCGCTTTCCCAATTGTTGGCTGTTTGATGGCTATTGACTATTAAAGTTAGATCGGACAGACATTGCGCAGCGGTTGTTCTTTCTGGCGTCAAAATGGCCTTCTAACGCACAACCCCCCTTCCACTGAGAGTGTGACATTTTGCCGCACTTACATCCGAGGCTCGACTTGCGCCGTGGGATATCCAGACGCTGGGACACTTCGCTTTCGAGCTTACGGCCTTGAGGCATGTAAACTTTGTGACATTTAACGCAAAGCATCTGGTCGCGGACAATTCGTCTTGGGATTATGGAATCAGGCGGCAATTCGGCAAGCTTCTTTCGGCGCGCTCTGTTTTTCCAGATTTCATGACATTGGCTTTTTTCGTTAAGCTTTCTTATGTTTTCTTATGTTATGCCTTCTTATGGTTAATATGCTTTCTGATTTTTTGTCTGATAGAGGCAATGTCTCTTCGTCAAAACCGTCTCACGGCGAAACGTCTCCGTGTCGAACTGGCCCGCGACGACATATAGAGCCGTATGGTGTCCTACCGACCAAATGTCCCCCTTCAAAGCGTCTGTCGGCCAGATGAACTGGCGATGTCCGCCACAATGTCCTGAAACTACTTGTCCTCGGCGAAAGGTCACGGTGTAAACATCCATCAAAACGTCAGCCAGTGCTCTACTTGCAAGTTCCTACACATTGCTGATGATCTTTAACCAATGGCCGAGTGCGTGCATTATGGCAGCATAGGTTGTTCTCGCCCCAGGCAGCACAACATCTTCCGTTGCCGGTCGTGCAGGAACCAGCAACGGCTCAACAGAATGCCGCAGCCAACGCGTCCACGCCGCACTGCTGCGCTTTTAGCCCACACCTTCCACCCAATCGCGAAAAGCCAGCCGCGGGTTGGCGTGTGGCTGGCTCCGTTTCCGGGCGATGATCCCTCGGACTACCACCGGTATCGTGAGACCATGGTCATGGTGCAGCTGGCGCTACGGGATGAACCGGCGGTCCCTTGCGCTTCCGAGCAGCGATTCTACGGCACCATGTCGGACAAATACAACACCATCGCTTCTGTCACCACCACTCTTCACCAAAGGGAAACGTTGCGGCCAGCTTCGAAGTGGTGGACATTTGTCATGTTGTTACCAAATCGTCTGGCCTCGCCACCGCTGCGATATATCCTTCGTCTGCTGGCAGCTTTTTTGGGCCTTAAACCCGCTGTTAAAAAAAGGGAAATTCGGAACTGGCGCCATTGTTCTTTTTCGAGGAGAACAAAGTTGCGCCCGCCCCCCTCCCAAAAAGCTAAAGACGGGCCTGCGTGTTTAGGGATCGAGTCACCCGGCTAATCGTTGACACCGAAGGCCCTGTTTCCCTAGCTCGTCGGCTTCTGTAAATATAACTATGAACGAGATTAACAGAACCGAACTATATTTTGAACTCCAAACGACTGCGCTCCAAAGTACAGACGCAGCACGCTCTTCTACAAATTGTCCATTGGTTTACTTACATACGAGTATGCGCTATTACTTACAAAAAACCGGATGAACTGCACTATAACTTATTGTCTATAAGCAGCTCTTCCCCATAAATCAAATGCTAACTCCCAACTCCTTAAATCCATTCCTGTTGGTTAGGTCACTTGCCGTTGGCGAATCAGCAGCAGAGAGTTCCGCAGAACAAGTCAGCATCCACATTCCAGTCAGACCAAATCACGTTGGCTAGCGGAGCTATCCACAGCGATGCGGTCGACGGCACTGTATACCTTCGTTTCCGGTGGGCCGTCAACGCCCACTGTCCGCAACTCAGCGATGACCTTTACGCTCAGATGGCGCAAGGATATGAGCGCTGGGTGAGCGGTCTGGTCCATCCCGGGAAAGATACGAGGTTCGGGGATATTTCAAACTGTAAGTCGTTCACAGTGCGACTGCAGAGGTTTCATGCATTCTTTTAACTGTTCCGCGGTAGACTATCGATAGAACCGTCTTAAAATGTTAAGGATTTTGGCTGTGTGTAATCGGAACCCGCTTATGCAGAGCTAGCAGCAGGAAGGCATATTCACCACAATGGCTAGTGATTTCCGTGCCACACTGACTCCTAATTGATATCATACTATATAGCTGATACTTGATAGGTGCTCCCTATTTAACTAACATGTACATAGTTTTCTCTAAATTCTGTTGTCTGCGCTTACAAATTGTGTTATTTTGCTTAGGCTTGGGGAAATAACAAATCATTTCCTAAAATTACAGCGAGCAAGGGCATATTTTCTGTTATTTCTTATCATACAACATGGCTCGGTAATCAACAAGACAGGTGCGGTGACACGACTTGTGCCGTCCCAAGTATGCCGGAGCCACAAGGCGTCTTGAATCAGTTGAGTGCCGGCGCTATTCGCGTCCTATGAACCGGGTTAACCAATTGTGCAATAACCGCAATGTGGCTGCCGAATGGAACTTTTCTCGTCCGACTGTCTGTAACACCATTCTTCCCATTCTTCCCACTCAGTAAGGTGTCAGAGGCCAAAGTTGTGGCGCGCAGCATGTTGCAGTTCGATCTGCGCAGCACAACTGGTCCACATTGCCTGTCAGTGTGGTCTGAGTGGTAGTAGTCACAGACGCCCTAAATGCCGCTGCTGCTTCTTGACTTGACCTACATGGAATTGCAAATTTGCAATCAGAGCTGAAGAGAGAGACTCTCGCTTCCCGGATGCTTGGCACACCAGTGTGACACCATTAAACAACTCCTTCGCTCTCGCTATCTGAAACCATTGGAATCCGCAAAGCGTCTGTGGGGGCAGCATCATTACAAGTATATAACCCAGCGTCAAGCCAGCGCATTTGTCAGCACAGAAATAAGTCCCCTTGGTGTCGGCATGAAAAGCGTTGGCTACGCCACGAGCAACACGGTGTGACCATTATAAAATGAATGGAATTATGGCATCCTCGACATCACTGCCACCCTTCCGGCGGATGCGTGTGGCGTCGGATGGCCGTTCTTTTGGCTACCAGATCACGGTGGTGGTGCAGTCTGACAGCGACCGTAATTCTTATTGGCTGGGATACATTCAAGATATCTCCGACAATGGCGAACAAACTCTGGTCGAGTGCGATTCCGAAGGGACGGATGCGCGCTGGATGGAGGCCAGTCACGTGTGGCTGGCTCCGTTGCCGGGCGATGATCCCTGGAACACCGCTGGCAACGTGGGAACAGGGTGCAGGTGGCGCTGCAGGATAAGCTCAACGGACCCTTCCGCTTCCGAGCGGCGACGATGATGGGCGGCATCTCGGATAAACACGACCGCGTCTGTTTTGTTACCACCCCTCCGGCGCCGAGGAGCGATTCAGTGAGAGAAAACCTTGCACCCACCTTCGAAGTGGTGGACCGTTGCCAGATCGTCACCGAATTGCCGTCGGCCCGAGCGTCGCACGCCAATGCCGGCAGTGGCCTCCACTACGCCAAGGTGGTCATCCCGTTCCCCGGGGCTCCGTCCGTGCTGCGAGGTCCCGCCGACCGAACTCATCTCGTGCAACGTCTCCGTGACGCTATGAGCGGGCACGACACCCTGAAGAAGCTACATGACAGCTGTCGCTTCCATCTGCGCATCGGAACGGACAGCTGTACTTTCATCGTGTTAAGCGCTCCGATGGAGGTCATGTCGGCGGAGTGGACGACCGCCACGTTGCTGCAGGTGCTGCAGCAACATCGCGCCGAACAAGTGGGGCTCATGTCGCAACTGAACAGTTTAGCCTCCACGGAGCATCCTGGCGGCCGCAGGAAGAGGCGCTGCGAAAATGGAGGTCAGCGTAAGTGATCAGTAAAGTGACCTTTCTAATAAAATAGGAGTACTGCTTCAAGGTAGCTTTTACCGTAGTCGATTTGGACGGTGCCGACTTCGCTCATCTTCCACCTCCGCTTTGGACTGCGATCCTCCTGCAGCTGGACTTGCACACGCAGGCCACAGTCAAAAGGTCAGCGGCGACCAAGCAGCTCGCACATTTATCCATAAGTGACGCAAAACCTTTACGTTTTTTTGACAGGGTGTGCGCCTTGTGGCAGCAAATTCTCAGCGAACCGCGCAACACGGAGCACATCATTTTCGGCTGCCGGTTCTGCAGCAAGGGCGATGTTCAGTGTTTGATCGGAAGAGACCACGCCGCGCTCCGACTCCTGTCCGGCTCCATCCGTTCCGCCACGAAAAGTCTGACGATCGTCGTCGGGCACCGCCACGAATGCGACATATCCTTCGTCTGCTACCAGCTTTTTTTTGCCTTGAACCCGCGTCTACCGCTGCTCATTCTGCGCGATATCCACCTGAATTTCGGCGGCTTGGGAGACGAGTACCACTTCTTCCCCATGCAGGTCACCCGCTTCCGCGACTACGCCCGATCTGTTCCGCTTCGCCATGTTCAGCCAACCGTTGAAAGGCGCAGATATCCTTTTGTTGAGCGAGGAGAAGAATTTAATGGCTCCGCTGAACTATACGGCTGCCCCACTAAGTATCTGTTCCGCTTCGCCATGTTCAGTTTGTTCAGCCAACCGTTGGAAGGCCCCGATATCCTCTTGTTGAGCGAGAAGAAGAATTGGATGGTACCGCTGAACTATGAGGCCGCCCCGCTGGCCGTCGACCAGATGCAGATTACGCTGCCCAACGTGGTCTTCCACTGCGATGCGGACGGGAATGCCATAGCCAGCCGTTTCATGTGGTCCGTCAACGCCCACTGTCCGCCGGTCAGCGATGACCTTTACGCCAGAGTAGCGCAAGTCCACGAGCGTTGGGTACGCAGCCTGGAGTACCTACGGCAGTGGAAGGGGATCCGGGAATATCTCAACGTGTAAGTGCCCACGCTGTTCACGCCATTCCGCTGCACAGTGACCTTTGAATGGTTTTGTTGCACAGACCTTTAAATGGGGTACGTGCCGGTGGCGCTGCGGAATGAGATCAGCATGGTCCGATCCAGCGTGTTGGCCGCCACTGCGGATGCAGACCCGCGGGACGTGCGTTGCCAGCCTGCTACGAAACCCCAGCGCCAACGCCGGCAGTAGCCTTCCTTCTTGTGCCCCGCACTGTCCCCCGTTTCCCCATGGGAGTGCCTGCCTACAAAGAGCTATGGTCGCCGGTCTCCCTGATGCCGAGGGGCCGCAGCTGAAGGAGCGGGCCGTCTCAGGCCGAACGGTAGCCCCTTCGTCAGTCTTAGCGTCCCGGCGGCGGTCCTGCCGGCGGAATGGGCCGTGCGCCCGATGACGGCCGGTGCGGTTGCCGACGTCTGGCCGGGAGCGTCGGGCGGGACTGGGCCCGTAGTCACCCAGCACTGCAGTCCGCGCAACGCCGCCTTTAACCGTCTGCCGCGCCTCCGCTGCATCCACCGGGACGCCTGCCCGAGGACCGGTGATGACTGCAGACCAGCGTGACCTTTCACTGCACCGCCCTGCAAGGCCAGCCGTTGTATGTGCGCCGTCCACGCCCACTGTCCGCCGCGGTGACCGATGGCCTTTAGACTATAGTTGTTCACGTACTACCAGCGCCAGATAAACAGCCAGGACGGTCCCGGACAATGAAGGAAGGGATCCGGGAAGATCGCTGCATGTCAGGAGCGAAACGAGACGCATAACGCACTTGCTATTCCCAAAATGATCACTGCACTGGCATTTCATATGTTCTGTTGTAGATATCTCCGTCAGGTATGATGTGTTTTATTAGCACAAGCCAGTAGCGGTAACATCACTGTTTCAAAACAATAAATCAAATAAAAAATAACTCATTTAATGCTGCCGCTCCCTCCATTGTCCCGAGCACGGAAGCAGCGTTGCCTCGCTGAATTTCCAGCGACAGTCGTTGACGGAGGTACTCATGGGAGCGAGGCTCACCCGTATGCTGTTGAAGTCGCTTGCCAATTTCTTTCACTAATCGGCTAGCTGACTTTCCCCATGGTCCAAGAGTTTCAAAAGCCAGCGGTACGAAGATGTATCTGCCCTGAAGGTACAAGTACAATCCCGCTTTCCTATCCTCCGCCTGTGCGGCGGCGGATCCCGCAGTGACTGATGTGGCTTTCCGGTGAGACATAGCAACAGTATCCACGCAGGTCACGTCCCACGCCAAACACATACCGCGTTGCCACGCAAACGTGGTGCAGCCATCTGGGCGGCGGTCCGATGTGTGGGATGTACCTCGCGGCTCCAATTTTGCAGGGATGCCGGCTGATACTAACGATCTGCACAAAAAAATACTGTTCAGGCCGCCATGGCGTGGATGCCTTCCAGCTGAGAATGCGCAGGAGAAGCCGTGGTGACCATACAGCATGACGGGCGGCGGCGCCACGTCTTCGCGCTCCGTTTCCAGCAGCGGGAGGAGGTTCAGCGCGCGCCGGCGGAAGACGGCGACCTCCTCTTGGAGCCAGCGCAGCAGCGCCACGAAGGTGGTCAGCGAGACGCTCTTGGCGATGTTGTGCGACAGATCGAAGGGGTCCTGCAGGTTCACGTAGCGCAATTTGAAGGGGTCGCCCGTGGGCGGCAGGGAATCGCGGAAATCGCTCAGCGGGACCACTTCGCCGCTCCAGCCGCGCATCACCGTCGTGGGGAAGGAGAAGGTGGAGTAATACTCGAAAAAATCCAACAATAAATCCGCTGCAATACGGCGAAGCGTATATATAAATGTATATAAAAAATGCTAATTAATGTGCAGTTAAATGAATAATTTAGTAACTTATATACAAAATCGGAACGACATGCCGATTTCAAAAGCAACAGTAAGGTACATTTCGCAACGAATGACTGTATTTCTTAGAATATTAATTTCAATATTTCCCAACAGCACTGAGCAAAAATCGTAATTATTGTTATTTTCAACCAAAAGGTTTAATTACAGCGGTTTTTAGTTGCCAGTACACAGGCGAATTAACAAAACGGCAAAACCAAAAATAACACAATCATTAAATCAAGATGATTAATTTTGGCACGGTAATTATAAAAGGCGCTTATATATCAGTATTTTGTTTCCTTCCTATAAGTCTGCGATGTGATTTTGTCGGCTTTCTAGCAGAAAGTTCTGCAATCCGTTAAACATTTGTCGGCTTTTTTATTCCGCAATTCGTTAAACATTTTTCAAAAACTTAACGATTAATTAAACGTAGCATATTCATTTTAGTACTTACTACGCACGGTACTTAATTACAAAATTTATTACGGCGGTTTTTATTTTTCAACCCATAAAGCAGCTATTAAGAATTAAAAATAATTTAATTCGGAGCAACAGTTTTAGTACCCACGGTAAAATAGTGCGTAATCACAGAACAAAGGCATTAATTTTCAAAACCCGAACTACAAATCAGAATTTATTAATATTAATTTTTAATATCATTGTGAAATGCGAAGCAATAAATCGTGGATAATACGAAAGACAAAATGCGACCAGATAAATTCAGCGACAAGAAATGCAACAAATAACGTACCTTCCGTTTTCGTATTTGTCGAGGGCGGCAACTCGCTGGCCAAGTCGGCCAATTTCCTCTCGGGCAGATCGAAGCTGAAGCCGCCTTCCTCGTCCAAAAAGCGCGTCAGACGGGGATTATTCACGACATGGCGGTGGATCTCGTCGGGCGGCGGGAGGACGGCGGGTTCCTGGGTGTGGAGGAAGAAGACGAGGAGCAGCGTCAGGGCGTACTTGGTCAGTCCCTCGCTGCCCGTCAGCTCCTTGGCGTCCGCCCACTGCCGCAGCGTCAACACCAGCGGCCGCAGCCGGGGCTCCAGGTGGCTATATAAAATCAACAGGCCCGTGTTCTCGAACACTAACCTGCAATTATGACTGATTATTTAAGTTTATTTGCTACCGACATTCGTCTATTAAAAGATACATATCTGGATTGAAAATTTTTACTATGGTTTATTTGTAAAAATTTTTACTCACCTTACTGAAATTTATTTACAGAAATCAAAATGTAATTTCTAAAATTTATTTCTGGAAATTTATTTCTAATTTGCAGCCGGATGGCTGTACAGAATCAGCAGGCCTGTGTTCTCGAACACCAACCTGCAGTTTATTATGCATTTCTTCAACGTCACTGTTTTAATTCATTTTCTTCTTTTAATGTTTTTTTAATGTTGTTGATGTTTTTTTAATGTTAAAATTCGATCATTTTTATTAGTGTAAATCGGCGCAGGCATTTTGTTATGTATACGGGCTTTTGTCGAAATAATACACCCTTTTCTTCTAATGCACAGTAATAACAGACAAAAACTGTTCGCAAAATTATCTGGATAATTAATCTGGGAGACCACTGACTATCCGTTATATAATTTGATAAATTACGGTTAGGACTAAGCAGGCTAACAAGAATGAAAAAACAGGATTAGCAATCTGAATCGAATAAGAAAACCGTACTAAGTGCTAAACAGCGGCGCCACTGCACTACGATCCTGTGCAAATTTAGAGATACGTTGTGCAATCATTTTGTACACATCTCAATTGGCTACTCGGCATTCGTAGACCTGTCGTAGAGCCAACCATCAAATAACGTATTAAAAACACCACAACTACAATATTTTACCCCATCTTCCAAAATAATTATTGGAAGGATTATTATTCCAATTATTGGATTATCATTATCGGATTATTGGATCGATTATTGGATCAATTATTATTATTTTTGATTATTGGATCAATTATTATTATTTTTTCATCAATCATTTGATTTATTATTCCAATGATTGGATTATCTTCCTTAATAATTATTACTATTATAATTATTGTCGTTCTTATTTTTATTATTTTATAGCGATTTTTCAACTGATTTCGCCCATTATTCCATATTACTGCAACGTCAAATAGTAAATATAATTGCCGAAAATAACTCATATTATTTTATTCTTAATGAATTTAAAACTCTAAAGAACACCCAATTATTGTTTCAATTATTCCTCTTTATAGTTAAAAAAATAATTACGATACCGGAAAATAATTCATTTTTATTTTCTTAAATTATTCGTATATCTACAGAAGTCCAAATTAATTTGGTAATTATTCTTGATTAATTCCAAAAATAATAATGATTAATTCTGAGCGTCGAGCGCGGGTGCGTACTTGCTGGTGAAGGAGACGTCGACGCTGAGGTGCGCGGCGGGATGGCGCAGCTTGAGGATGGGCGTGCGGGCCGCGGGAATGGCCATCACGTCCTCGTAGTTCTCGCTCTTGGCCAGGTAGCGCAGCAGCTTCTCCATCAGGCGCAGGATGTCTTTCGGCGACTCCCCAGCCAGCTCCCACGGCTCGTACGGGCACTGGAACAGCTGCGTCACGTTGGAAAAATAATAGCTCATCGGCTGCTCGCGGGGTATGAAAAACAAAAATACGGAACACAAATTAAATTACATCAAAATGTTAATTACGCCACATACGGTATTTACTGCTGATAAATTGCTATTCATCTTATAAAACAAAATAAAGAAATTATTGCTATTCATGTTAAGAAATTAAAAAATTGTAGAATTAAAGGGGTTACCTTATAGTCAGGGATCCGTACAGACGCACCGTGCACCGCCGGAACGTGGCTTCCAGCTGCCGCCTCAACTTTTCCCGTGCATCGCGTTCCTCCTCACTCAACTGCGACCGCTCCATCAACAAGCGCATTTGCTGACACGGCTGCAACACCATTCATCTTACCAAACGATGAAGTAAAAATCAAAATAAATAACTATGCAAATATTAACGCGATTTTGCCGGTAGCAGGCCGAGAAATGGTGAAAGATGGAAATCATGCGTTGAAATGAAAAACCGGCAGTATTTTTCGAGAAGCGTATTGTGCTTAATAGGACGTTTTCGAAAACAATCAGTTGAAAAAACTACTGGAAGTAATCTTTTCGAAAATTAAAATAAAAATTCCCTTTTGAAATTAAGATGAGGATTTAGAGCTGCGGCACAACAAAAATTTTGAAATATATTTTTGGAAACAAATTCCTGCAACGGCAGCAACGCGATGAAAAGCGCAAGCCGCATTCAAAAATCTAATTTCGCGCCCAAAAATCCCTGATCAAAACTTCATGCATTTGTAAATACCAAACATACTATTTCAATCCGGGGAAATACTTAATAAATTACCATCACCAAAAATGATTGATGATTGGTAGTATTACAATCACCAAAAATGTCTTCACAGAAATATCGCGCAAATTAGCCGGCAAAAAATATTGCTACACGAAAAAATTCAATAAACTGAAAATTCAATACTTCCCAAATTTGAATAAATCCAGAATAATATCTTTTAAACCAAGTAAAAAACTCACTCAAAATTAAAGAAAAAACTCACTCAAAATAATCCAAGAAAATTAAACAAAAATTGAAATGAACATAACTAAATCAAATACAACCAAAACAAATCCGTATGCAAATATTAATGAAAAAGCAAGGCAGTATACGGATAAAATAACTCAACAAAAAAATGCACAAAAACCCAGCAAAATTTATACAGAAATCAAGCGCGGTACAAATTGTCAATAAGTGGCGAAAATACATACCCATTGCACTTACATCATCCGTCTCGGTGAGAAAGGAGAATTTGTGGTGGGGCGCCTTCTTCCGCTTGACGGCCTCCCCGGCCAGCGGCACCACGGGAACAGCCAGCTGCCTCTTCTGCACCAACTCCAGCCAGCTGTGGAGGACGGGGGCGCGGAAGGCCACCGCCCCCGGGGGCCGTCCCGTGCGGTGGTGCTCGTAAGCCTCGTCTTCGCTGAGGACCGGCACGCCCGCCGGCAAAACAGATAAAGGGACGCCGCGGCCCCCGGGGGCGCGCTGCACGATGAGGGGCGTGGGCGTGTCGCGGGGCAGCCGCGGCGGGTGCGGGTGGCCGTCCGGCGACCGGCGCGGCTCCATGGCCACGCGCTGCTCCTGCACCACGAGGCCGGCCTGCAGCGCGTCGAACGCCGATTCCTCCTCCACGAAGACGACGATGCCGAAGCGCACCGCCTGCCAATTATATAATTATGCGCAACGGGGATTTTTATCGGCGCACCGCCAGGTCGCAGGCAAATAAATCACATAACTGATAATTCCAAAATTAAATCAATTAATTCTGGCTGCGTTTTACGCTGAGCATTTAAAATTTCCACACGGCACGCTTAGTACAAATTGATCCGATTCGGCGATTCGAAACGGATAGGGTTCGGTAATTTTCAAAAATAAATTATCAATGGTTGAAAACATAATTCGGTTCGATCTATTTCGAATTTCAGCTGCTACGTAATTTCAGCTGCTACGTAAAATATGTACACAGAATTAGTACAAATGTGTTTAATCAATGTAGTCACTTCTACAAAAAAGAAATCGTCAGGAAAAAACCTCACAAACGCAAAATTAATGCGTCATGCCATGTCATGTCGCTTCACAAATCACAAGTAATTAATCAGCAAGCCAAGCACGACTACAAGAATAATTTCAAAAATAAATGAAAACCGATAAACCGACCAACAAAAAATGCACCGAATAATTGACTGCATTTGCTTAATAATTGATTCATAATTTGCAAATCAACTGATCAATAATTGTTAAATCGCTTTTTCAAATTAATCGAAGAAAAACGCCTGCAAATTTACCACAATCCGCTTTCAGCGAGTAAAAATTATTTCGTAATTGAAAACCGGAATTCACCAAAGAACCGAACATTCAACGAAAGCCGACCAAAAATAATGCTGTAATAAAAATCGTATTTTCGGAGCAAAAATAATTTGAACTGCCAATTGGCACGTACGAAAATAATACAATAATTAAAACGTTTGGCAAAAAAATTATTTGCGGTGCAGCGCATGTTACCATAGTTGCAGCAAATTCTCAAGAAAACTACGGTCATTTACCATGACAACAACCGCATCTCGAAATTGACAAGAAGAGCGAAAAACTATGGCAACATCACACCACGCAAAGTCGAGAACGGAAAATGGTGACGAAATTCGACAGAATTAAAAATGACTAATTAAATCAACAATTCAATTATTTTCACATTTTTTCACGCAGAATAATTTTTTAAAATCTACAATAAAATGATAAATCCGTATTGGCAAAACTTACCCGTTGATTCCTCTTGACAATAATCTCCTGAATATTCCCGAGCAGCGTGAGACGCGCGGCCAGCTCTTTCAGCTCGATCTCGTCCGGCAGACAGGGAATGAACAGCGAGCGCCGCAGTTCAGCGATCCTGCTGGCCGACAGCGCTGACGACGCAGACGGCGTCCAGGCCAACGACTCCCCTGTCTCAACAACCGCGGGAGCATCGCGCTGCGGGTCCGGGCCAAAACGCGGTCGGGAGGACGCTCCACAAAGACAAGAATCAGAAGATGCTCGTAAATCGCACTGCGCAGTCAACTAGCGTTCTCGTACGCAGGCTAATAAACAGGTGGTTTTTACCGGATACGCAGCAGACAGCAGCTGTTCACGGCAGTCATCTGGCCATCCGGATTAAAGTTTAAAAATTTACAAACTAAAAGGAAAGTGTTTTTTTAACGGAAATATGCGCTGAGAAAAACTGTGAAGAAAACCTTCAAAAAAGCCACCGCGTCGTTTCACAAATCACGGCGATTGTTTTTGGCAGTGCAGTGCGTTTGGCTAGTGCAACGAGGTAAACGAGGCGCTGGCCATGCTGTCTCTGATGTATGCCTTTGCAGAATATTGCAACCGGAAGTGTTGCACCGCGATTTCGCTGAATGCGCTCTATTTGTTTGTTTCGCATACTATACCAATGCCAGGAATGAAAACTGAGACTTCATCATTGCTGTTTGTGCCCTCGGAGACAAAATTCACAATTCAGTTATTTTAAATTATTTTAAAATTACACAATCTTGAATTAAAATGTTAAAAGAAGTTGGTTTTTAACGGAAGATCAAAACTAAAATCAAGAATCATGAGAAAAACGGTCCAGTTCCAGTGGCAGTGAAAATGGTTTCCACAACATAGACTCGATGGAGTTCACACTGCTCAGCGGAACTGTATCACGGCTGCCTTGCCTGTCGTACGCTGTCATCCGTAGGACAGAGCACGACACCCCGGGCTAATTTTCGACTCGCTGTCCGCTGAACGGTGTGCGCCGCCGGCCTAGTTTGCAATTTTGCAAATCATCGTCAGCTCGTGCAGTTTGCCAGGTTCCCCATTTTCGGTTCTGCTGTTTCTTCTCCCCGCTTCCGCAACGACATACTCGGTTAAGTCGGTTTGTTTTTGTCTCGTGCTAGAATTTTGATTTTTATTACTGGCTAGAATGGCCGGGCAACCCACATTTAACCTTATTATAACTCCAGGTAAAGCAAGAGTGTTCTTGACAGCTCTTCGTAGCCATGTGTGCTAAATTAATTGCTGTCGCTTTTCCAGCGCCAAACGCTCAAATACAGCTACTGCAAGAAAAACACCCTCTTCTCGTCGACGTAGTGGCTCTTGATGGCCTGACTAATTTGGGGCAGGATCTGGGCCTTCAGGGTGCCCAGTTCGATCCGGTCTGCAGCACCGTGCAGTACCGCGGCGGGCTCCGAGTGTTTTCTGTTTTTGTCCATGGAAATCAAGCCGCTCTCCGGGTGCCTGTGGGGTAGGAATGCTGTTATAATAACGCAGTCTTAATTTCGTGAGGATGAGCAGCAAATACGTTTAACTGAAACCGAGTAAAAAATGCAAAATGGGTGAATGAATTTTTTCTAGTTAAAATTTTAAAAATATTTTTAATAAAATCGAAGGTAAAACAACTACCATGGGTGGTAGCAATGGAGTCAAAATTTCAAAAATTATTTTGTGTATTTTGCGCAGCTTCTGCTGTAGGTGAATCGATAACGCTGATTCCGAATTTTCTGTCTGAAAAATTTTAAAAAAATACTGCCTAGAACCACAAGGATGATATCAGCCTGATTAACAATGAAATGATTTGATCATATTAATTGATTATTAATTAATAAATTATATATTTCATAATTTGGATGTCTCGTACATTTTATGGTTTTCAGATACTAGGAATGTTTGAAATGTAAACAATTTAATTTAATATTAATCTGTGACTCTCGACTGTAGAAACTTCAACAACGCCCAGCAGAACGCTCAGCGATGGTCGCTCTCAACGTCACAACATCCACGGCTGATCGGTGGCCGCTATAGATTCCGCGTACAATCGTTGATTCCGGACGTCACCGACGACCACCTGCGCGCTGCGCTCCTTGATGCCGGAAACGGCGACGTGGTGACTGCCCCCATTTTTGATGCCGGAAACGTGGTCCCCATTCTGGTGCACACGGTCGGGGGTAACCCCAGGATCCGCACCCTGGCGTTCCTGGACGCCGCCGATGCGCAGACGAGTTTTGAATATCTGAATCGTAATAATTTGGCCCACTTGGCTGAGACGGAGATCGTGGCTAAATGGGAAACTCCCGGTCTCGCAGGCGGTGACGCAACTTGGGGTAAATTTTTTTAATGTTTTAATTTAATCATTTTTAGTAGTTTGACCGCGGATGCTGTTATAAGTTGATTTATTCGCTAATACTGACTATGAACCAGTTTGCAATGGGAAAGCCGGTGTGTGATGGGAATTTTCCAATGTTTGATAGCGGCGAACGCCATCAGCATTGTCAGCGGACAGGAGCTGGGCGGATCCGAGCTGCGTGTGGCCTGGGCCAAGCCGCGTGATCAGCGTAGCGGCGGGGGACGTCGTGGAGGATACGGCGGTGGCGGTGGCTACGGAGGCGGTGAGTTGCCGGAAATTCGATTTTTTTGGGAATTTTTTATTGAATTTAATCGGTGAAATTTTCGGGTTAATATTTAGCCAATCAAATTTTGAATTAATAAGTTCCGAATTAACTTGGATGATTTAATTGGCGAATTTTTCCGGTAAGAATAATTCTGTTTTAAATTTATTCAGTTTAAATACCGAATTTCTGCTGATTTTATTTTGGCCATAATTCAGTAGTGCAGTAATTTTATTGCTAATTTTTTGCGGCAGGAATTCAGAGATTTAAGTATCGAATTTTTCTTAATTTTCGTAGGCTGACTTCGCATAAAATTTCCGTGAAATCGATTAATTTTCTCATGGTGTTGCGATAAAAAATTTGTCAGATTAGTCTTAGGCCAAGCAGATATTTTAGCCGTATTTCTCATGGTTCGGGTAAATTAAATCGAAACAATTCCAGAATTTTAATAATATTATTTTCTTATTGCAATTGAAAATTCGTCTAAAATGATAATTAGTTTAAGATGAAGAAATTTGAAAAAAAATTCAAGCCGGCTTTCCGCTGCAGTGATTGGTTTAATTCGGATTTATTTTACGCTTATTCAATGTGAAAGATTACGTGTTACGCGATCGGATATTTTGGCGATAATTATTGAATTTATTGTGGTTGATAATACGCGCGATAATGAAATGCTTGCATCATCCGGTGTTATCAGTCGCCTTTGTCTTGTGTAGGACGCGGGTATGGAGGCGGCGGCGGAGGATACGGAGGCCGCAGTGGAGGTTACGGTGGCGGAGGCGGCGGCGGGGGCTATGGCGGCGGCGGGGGATATGGCGGCGGTGGCGGCCGGGGAGGTGGCGGCGGCGGCGGGGACCGTTCGTGCTACAAGTGCGGCCAGTCGGGGCATATTTCCCGCAACTGTCCGGAGAACGACGGCGGTGGGCGTGGCGGTTATTAGGAGACCCTCCCCCCTTCATCCAGGCATCCTCCCCCCATCGTATCATCCGTGTTTAAGCTCGTGGGTCGTTTTTTTTAACTTCCATTAGATATTTTTTTGATAATAATGTCCGTTTAGCGCTTTATTTTCGAGCTAAAGAATTCCTCTCGTAGTACGTGTGCGTGTGTGTACGAAGCCGCACCGGTTGTTTGTTACGTATAGAATTTCGTTTTCCCGGCCTTGACCGAAAATTAGAAATCTCCTCTCTTCGCGGTGGGTGAGAGACGGGTTTCCGATGCTTATCTTTCTGATCTTGAATTTGATGTTACTAGTTTTTTTTGTGATAATTTTGTGATGAAATCGTTGGTGATGGATTTATTTTCTGCAGTTAGATCTCACAGATAAAAAAAATCTCCAAAGTTACCCGATATTAAGGATACTCGTAGTCGTAGGGAATTTCTGTATTTTTCGGGATGCATTTTTATAGCGCTAAAAGGATAATACAGTGTGTGTTGAACAAACGAAAAATAGCGCATATAGCGAATTGCCAGTATGCAGCTTTCGCTATAATTGCCAACGAATGTGTGAAACAGAAACAGCAAGGGAAGCGCAGCATTAACCAGCCAGCTAAACTGACGAAAGCCACAAAACGGAGTTAAAATTATTCAAACTCAATGATGTAACAAATAAATGGAAGAATTCTGTTGATTACAAAATCGGCGTAGTTTTAGTTTCCCAGGCACTTGGCAGATCGCTGCGATTGCGAAATGGCCGCGCGCATTTTCAAAATATCCGAGTCGGCGTTTTCGCAGAAAAACAGGTCGGTTCATGATCAGACAAGTGGTGTGTGTATTGTGTAGTGTGTACGCAATTTTGTTCAGTGCGTATGACCGCGCAGTCAGCATACCGATTCGCGGATGAAAATTTGAATGCCCAGCCGCCGCTTCTGATTGGCTGCTGCGGTTATCATGCCATGCTACTCGTACAAGCGGCTGCACTGTACACGTGCGCATACGCTCGTACGCCGACTTCCGTGTGGATATGCGCAGCGGCTGCCGTGCTGCGTGTACACAGCACGGCGTACACTATCGCGCAACACCCGGGGTAATTTCTCCGCCCGCGTGTAGCCGACCGAGTTGCCTCGTTGCGGCTGCGACGACGCCATCATCACACCGCACAGCAGCACCGCATTTCATTTTCATCCAAGCAACTGAATCGAAAAGCGTTGGGCTGTCTCATCGGGAGAAGCCGGTTCGTCGTGTTTCGTGCGGGTTTTTGGGGTTTTGGCAGCGTCCATCGGGCTGCTTCGTGGTTTCCGTTGATTCTTGTTTGTGTGAAGTTTCGGTTTTCTTCCTAGTCCATCTCAGGTACGTGGATTTGAAGTTTGTAGAATTATTTTGTGGTAGATAGCTGCGTAGAGAGCCGCGGTGATCCGTCTGGGTCCTCCGCGGAAAACCGATTTCCTCGCTGCTGTTTTGACTTTTTTCCGTTGATTTTGTAACAGAAAATTCACAGACTGTTTAAAGGTAATTTAATCAGCAAAATTTTTCCGTGTAACTGTAGTCATTCTGCGAAATTTTAATTTGAAATGAAGAGGAAGAATACCGCTTGGGTCGCCGCCGTATAATGGGATTTCCCCAATGTTTTTTCCTTTCCCTGTTCTTTTTTCAATTTAATTGCGATGTGATCAGGATGTTGACGGTGTGGAACGCTTGTATGTAGAGATCCAAGGCATTCCAACCATGGATAGCGACTATTCTGGTGGCGGACGTTCGTTCGGCCGCGGCGGCGGCTTCCAGGGTACGCCGACCCGGGATGAGAAGTCGGGTGGATTCCGGCTGCATGTCGGCGGCATCGCCGACGGGGTGAGCGAAGAGCAGGTCCGTCAGACCTTCCAGAAGGTGGGCAACGTCAAGGACCTGTGGATGTCCACTAACAGCGACTCGCCGCGTTTCGGCTTTGTGGTCTTCGAGGACCAGGGTGATGCGGAGAACGCCATCAGCAATGTCAGCGGGCAGGAGCTGGGCGGATCCGAGCTGCGTGTGGCCTGGGCCAAGCCGCGTGATCAGCGTAGCGGCGGGGGACGTCGTGGAGGATACGGCGGTGGCGGTGGCTACGGAGGCGGTGAGTTGCCGGAAATTCGATTTTTTTGGGAATTTTTTATGGAATTTTTTCGGTAAGAATTTCGAGGTAATATTTAGGCAATCGAATTTTGAAATTATATTTATTCAATGAAATTCCGAATTAATTTGGATGATTTAATTGCCGAATTTTTCCGGTAAGAATAATTATTTTTTAAATTTATTCAATTTAAATACCGAATTTCTGTTTTTTTATTTTGGTCATAATTCAGTAGTGCAGTTATTTTATTGTTGAATTTTTTCGGTAAGAATTCAGAAATTCAAGTTTCGAATTTTTCTTAGTTTGAGTAGGCTGACTTCCGCATAAAATTTCTGTGAAATAGAATTAATTTTCTCATGGTGCTGCGATAAAAATTTGCCAGATTAATCTTAGGCCAAGCAGATATTTTAGCCATATTTCTCATGTGTTCGCCTAAATTAAATTGATATAATTTCAGAATTTCAAAAATTTCAGTTTTTTTATTGCAGTTAAAAATTCGTCCGAAATGATAATCAATTTAAGATGAAGAAATCTGAATGACAAGTCATGATGGTGATCGATTTAATCAGTATTTATTCTACGCTTATTCAACGCTTTGTTAATGTGAATGATAACATGTTACGAGATCGGATATTTCGGCGATAATTATTGAATTTATTCTGGTTGATAATGACATGCTTGCGTCATCCGCTGTTATCAGTGGCCTCAACCGGTGATTGTGTCTTGTGTAGGCGGTGGGTATGGTGGTGGCGGCGGAGGATACGGAGGCCGCAGTGGAGGTTACGGTGGCGGAGGGGGCGGCGGCGGCGGCGACCGCTCGTGCTACAAATGCGGCCAGTCGGCATATTTCCGCAACTGTCCGGAGAACGACGGCGGTGGCCGTGGCGGTTATTAGAGGACCCCCTTCTTCTTCATCCAGGCATCCTCCCCCATCGTATCATCCGTGTTTAAGCTCGTGGGTCGTTTTTTAACTTCCATTATATTTTTTTGATAATAATGTCCGTTTAGCGCTTTATTTTCGAGCTGAAGAATTCCTCTCGTAGTACGTGTGCGTGTTTGTACGAAGCCGCACCGGTTGTTTGTTACGTATAGAATTTCCGTTTTCCGGCCTTGACCAAAAAAGAGAAATCTTCTCTCTCCGCGGTGGGTGGGAGACGTGTTTCTGCGCGCACAAATGATTCTTGGCGACATGGTTGTTTGTTACGTCTGTGGAAAAACGCGCTCCTTATTGCGCTGTGTGTAGCTCGGAGATATGATGTTTTTGACGAATACGTGGCGGTTTTCTCTTTTTGTCCGAACGCAGTTTTGAGTCTTGGTGTACAGAGGAGCTCGGTTTAACTTAGTATTATTCTCTCTTCTTCGATAAAGTCCAGTTCTTGTGTGCGGTGCGTGGCGGCTTTCCGGTAATTCCATAGAAAACACGTACAATTTATTGATGAATTTACTCATGCAAAATAAGGCAATAAAACGTAGGAATTTGAATTTTAACGGCAGAAAAATTGAGAAATAATTTATTTTAAATTGGGGATAATTGGAATTTGCTGATCTACAAATTACAATTAATCAATTAGAAGTACTTGTGCTTTAAGAAATTAAAAACTAAATTTGCCGTTTTTTTTGCGGATAGTTACATGATTTCAAATAAATAATCGTAAAAAATAAGCAACAACGAAAACCCAGAAATAAACAATTTATTTGTGATGAAAAAATTAAAAATGCGGCATTTTACCGCATCATTCGGGTTTGATTTTAACAGCGCACATTTGACAAGTAGTACCGTCACGAAAAATGATTGAAAAATTGTTTACTGCATATTTTTTGCGCTTCAATATTTAATTTATCAGCAATTCTGATTTTTCTGCTTTCGCGAGCAAATAAAATCGGTAAATACAGGTAAAATTAAAGCGGCGCATACAAGGAATGTCCAGTAAGTAACACTGCAAACCGAAAGCTGGCAACAGAGAACAGCGCGGGAAGAGTCGCATTAAAGCCCCTTGACAGCGCTGAAATCAGTTCAGAATTTTTGTTTTGGTTTTAACATTTGAATTCTAATTTATCTTTAAATTAACATCGTGATTTGTAGCTCAAAATAATTAATATCACATTATCATAAAACCCAGATGAATTTGCATGTTTTATTCCTGCGCATCAAAAAAGCACGGGGCAAACAAAAGCAGCGCATGTAGCGAATTCACCGTACACAACTTCCGGCTGCCATCGTCAGTGTGAAGGCGAACAACGGAGACAGCACGGCCAGCGCAGCGTTTACCCCACTTAAGCACTGGCCGAACGCAAACGCGTTCGCCGTTCTGCCAGTCTTTGTTGTTGTCCGACGCGGTTGGCTCGTTTCTAGTTTTTATCCGTAGATTCTGCCGTCTATTCCCGTTTAAAATCTCTATCTTTTAGTTTTTTTAATTTTAAGTTTTTATTCCGGATGCCCCGATGCCCGCCGTGGCCCGTGCCGCTGGTGTCAATGGCCCGTCTGCTGACGCTGCTCGGCAGCAGCAGAGCAATGGACGCAGCGTATCCGGTAAATCCCCTGTTTGACTGTGTAGCTGAGCGCATTATTTACGAGAATCTTGTGTGTTTGTGGAGCGTCCTCCCGGCCGCGTTTTGGCCCGGACCCGCAGCGCGATGCTCCCGCGGTTGTTGAGACAGGGGAGTCGTTCGCCTGGACGCCGTCTGCGTCGTCCGCGCAGTCGGCCAGCAGGATCGCTGAACTGCGGCGCTCGCTGTTCATTCCCTGTCTGCCGGACGAGATCGAGCTGAACGAGTTGGCCGCGCGTCTCACGCTGCTCGGGAATATTCAGGAGATTATCATCAAGAGGAATCAGCGGGTAAGTTGTTAAGTTTGGAGTTTTATCGTTTTCTGTAGATTTTAAAGAATTATTCTGCGTGAAAAAATGTGAAAATAATTCAATTATAACGAGTTATTGATTTAATTAGTGATTTTAATTCGGTCGAATTTCGTCGCCATTTTCCGTTCTCGACTTTGCGTGATGTGGTGTTGCCATAGTTTAAATTAATTTTCTCTCTGGTGTTGCCATAGTTTTTCGCTGTTCTTGTCATTTTTGAGATGCGGTTGTTGTCATGGTAAAATTAATTTTCTTGGGAATTTGCTACAGTTATGCCTGTTATGGTAACACGCGCTGCGTCGCAAAATTTTGTTTTGCCAAGCGTTTTATTTATTTCATTATTTTTAATTTTCTTACGTAAACTCTACCAATTCAAATTTTGCTCCGAAAATGCACAGTTAATTTCTACTCGCTGAAAGCGGATTGTTATAAATTTAGGCGTATTTTTCATAATTTTGCTCGTTTTTCTCCGATTTTCAGCCCGAAGATTGATTTTGAAAAAGGGATTAAAATTTTGTTATTAATCAATTATTATGCCAGTGCAGTCTGTTATTGAATTTGTTGGTCGGTTTATCTGTTTTAATTTATTTTTGAAATTATTCTTGTAGTCGTGCTTGGCTTGCTAATTAATTACTTGTGATTTGTGAAGTAACATGACATGGTATGGCGCATTAATTTTGCATTTGTGAGGTTTATTCCTGACGGATCAAACCGAATCTGTTTTTCAACCATTAATAATTTAATTCTTAGAAATTCCAAATTGGTAGTAGCACATGTTCGGTCTTTTTGGTTCGTTTACGGATTACAGAGTGCTTGTGAAATTATTTTTGTACCGATTTCTTTTTTGTAGAAGTGACTCGCATTTGTACTAATTTAAACACATTTGTACTAGTTTTGGGTATTTGCTAGATTAATTACGTAGCAGTTAAAATTCGAAACAGATTGAACCGAATTATTTTTTCAACCAATAATAATTTATTTCTGAAAATTGCCGAACACTATCCGCTCGATTTTCGAATCGCCGAATCGGATCAATTTGTACAAAGCGTGCCGTGTGGAAATTTTAAATGCTCAGCGTAAAACGCAGCCAGAATTAATTGATTTAATTTTGGAATTATCAGTTATGTGATTTATTTGCCTGCGACCTGGCGGTGCGCCGATAAGAATCCCGTTGCGCATAATTATATAATTGGCAGGCGGTGCGCTTCGGCATCGTCGTCTTCGTGGAGGAGGAATCGGCGTTCGACGCGCTGCAGGCCGGCCTCGTGGTGCAGGAGCAGCGCGTGGCCATGGAGCCGCGCCGGTCGCCGGACGGCCACCCGCACCCGCCGCGGCTGCCCCGCGACACGCCCACGCCCCTCATCGTGCAGCGCGCCCCCGGGGGCCGCGGCGTCCCTTTATCTGTTTTGCCGGCGGGCGTGCCGGTCCTCAGCGAAGACGAGGCTTACGAGCACCACCGCACGGGACGGCCCCCGGGGGCGGTGGCCTTCCGCGCCCCCGTCCTCCACAGCTGGCTGGAGTTGGTGCAGAAGAGGCAGCTGGCTGTTCCCGTGGTGCCGCTGGCCGGGGAGGCCGTCAAGAGGAAGAAGGCGCTCCACCACAAATTCTCCTTTCTCACCGAGACGGACGATGTAAGTGCAATGCGGATGTGTGGTTTCGCCGGTTGGCAATTTGTACAGCTGATTTTGTATAAATTTTTCTGGATTTTTGTGAATTTTTTATGGAATTTTGCGGATTTTAATGTTCATCCGAATATTGCATTAATATTCACAGATGAATTTATTTTAGGTTTTATTTGATTTATTTATGCTCATTCTCCTTTTTTTATTTTGCTGGGAAAATTTTGAGTTTTTTCTTTATTTTTTCTTGATTTATGGATTCGTATTTTGGGTTTGTTCAGATTTATTAATTATGGAATTTTCAAAATTTCTTGTAATAATTGTTTTGCCGATGAATTTCCATGCTTTTTCTCAGAGGACTTTTGGCGAGTTTTTTAATTTTCTTGTGTATCAAAAACACAGCCAAATCAAGCACAATACGGTTCTCGGAAATTCTGTCCGGTTTTTCATTTCATCGGATGATTTCCATTTTTTCTGCCTCTTACCGGAAAAATGGCATTATTAATATTTTTCATTATTTTCTTGATTTTATTTCACTGTAATATACATCATAGTGCAGAAATGATTACAGTTACGTTGCAGCCGTGCCAGCAAATGCGCTTGTTGATGGAGCGGTCGCAGTTGAGTGCGGAAGAGCGCGATGCACGGGAGAACGTGCGCCGCCAGCTGGAAGCCACGTTCCGGCGCATTTTCCGCCGGTGCACGGTGCGATTATACGGATCCTCCGTCAACACGTTCGGCGTCCGCGGATCCGACATCGACAGCTTCCTCGATCTGCACTTGGACGAGATAACGGCCCCGCCCGCTGACTGTAAGGTAACCCCTTTCATTCTACAACTGTTTACTTTTATTGGATGAACTTGTATTTTTTATTCGAGTGTTCGATTTGTTATAATGTGCGCGTTTGCACTGGTTTTAATAATTCGCTATTTAATTTTACCGATTTAATTCCACAGTTAAACGCGGTGAAATTATTGTTGTTCTTATTATTAATTTTACCAGAGCGCCTTAGGCGAAAATTAATTGTTTTTTCAGTGTTCCGTAATTAAGTGAAGTGGTTCAAAGTAAGGCTTTGCTGTTCGGTTGAATTGATTATTGTTTAATTTGGAAGTTCAGCTTTTCTTACTTTAATCATTAATAAATACCGGATAATTATTACAAAATAATTTGGAAATTATTCGGGAATGTCGTTTGCTTTCTTTTTGTGCGTAGTTTTTTATATTTTAATTGCTAATAATTTCCGGATAATTTTTCCGTTTATAATTACCTGATAATTGGTAATTTAGCAGTTATTCGGGAATGTGGTGTATTAATTATTTTGGTGTATTTTAATTTTTTACGGTATTTTTTTGTAGCCCCGCGAGCAGCCGATGAGCTATTATTTTTCCAACGTGACGCAGCTGTTCCAGTGCCCGTACGAGCCGTGGGAGCTGGCTGGGGAGTCGCCGAAAGACATCCTGCGCTTGATGGAGAAGCTGCTGCGCTACCTGGCCAAGAGCGAGAACTACGAGGACGTGCTGGCCATTCCCGCGGCCCGCACGCCCATCCTCAAGCTGCGCCATCCCGCCGCCCACCTCAGCGTCGACGTCTCCTTCACCAGCAAGTACGCACCCGCGCTCGACGCTCAGAATAAATCGTAGTTATTTCTGGAATTAATCCAGAAAAATTACAAAATTAATTTGGACTTCTATAGATATACAAACAATTTAAGAAAATAATAAGAAATTATTTTTCGGTATCGTAATTGTGTTTCAAATATAAACAAGAATGGTTTAAGCAATAATTGGGAGTTCTGTAGAGTTTTAAATTCATTTAGATTAAAATAATATGAATTATTACCGGAAATAATATTTATTTTTGACGTTGCAGTGATATGGAATAATGTGCGAAATCAGTTGAAAATCGCTGTAAAATAATAAAAATAATCACGACAATAATAATTATTTTGGAAGATGGTGTAAAAGTTTTGGTGTTTTTAATACGTTATTTCACTTATTTGATGGTTGACTCTACGATAAATCATAAAAGTCTGATTGAATGCCGTAAATTGGGATGTGTAAAAAATGACTGCAGAACATCTCTGTAAATTTGCACAGGATCGTAGTGCAGTGGCGCAGCTCTTCACCACTTATAACATTTGTCTTATCGGATTTCTGGTTTTATTTTTCCGTATGCGTCAGGTTGCTTACCGTAATTTATCAGGTTAAATGACTATTTTAACGGGTGGTCAGTGACCTCAAAAAATTGATTTTCCAGATAATTTTGCACACAGTTTTTGTCTGTTATAACTGTTTCTAACAAGAAAATAAATTAATTCTCAGGGACGTTGAAGAAATGGCATAATAAACTGCAGGTTGGTGTTGGAGAACACGGGCCTGCTGATTCTGTACAGCCATCCGGCTGCGAATTAGAAATAAATTTCCAGAAATAAATTTTAGAAATTACATTTTGATTTCTGTAAATAAACTTCAGTAAGGGGAGTATAACGTTTTGCAAATAAACCATAGTAAAATGTTTAATCCAAATATGTACCTTTTAATAGACGAATGTCGGTAACAAATAAGCTTAAAATAATAATAAGTCCTAATCGCAGGTCAGTGTTTGAGAACACGGGCATGTTGATTCTTCAATTCTTCACAGCCATGCCGATGTCCGGCTGCAAATTAGAAATAAATTTCAGAAATATATTTTAGAAACTAAATCTCTGTAAATAAATTGCAGTAAGGTGAGTAAAAATTTTGGCAAATAAACTATAGTAAAAATGTTTAATCCAAATATGTACCTTTTAATAGACGAATTTTGGGTAGCTTAAATAAGCTTAAATAATATAATCATAATTGCAGGTTAGTGTTCGAGAACACGGGCCTGTTGATTTTGTACAGCCACCTGGAGCCCCGACTGCGTCCGCTGGTGTTGACGCTGCGGCAGTGGGCGGACGCCAAGGAGCTGACGGGCAGCGAGGGTCTGACCAAGTACGCCCTGACGCTGCTCCTCGTCTTCTTCCTCCACACCCAGGAACCCCCCGTCCTCCCGCCGCCCGACGAGATCCACCGCCATGTCGTGAATAATCCCCGTCTGACGCGCTTCTTGGACGAGGAAGGCGGCTTCAGCTTCGATCTGCCCGAGAGGAAATTGGCCGACTTGGCCAAGGAGTTGCCGCCCTCGAGGAATACGAAAACGGAAGGTATGTTAATTTTTGTATTGAGTGTCGCTGGTTTTTTTTCGCACTTTGTCTCTCATATTTTCCACAATTTATTACTTTATAATACTGTTGTAAATTAATGTTAATAAATTCGGATTTCCAGTCTTATTGAGATGAAATATTCGGGTTTGGGAAAACGATGCATTTATTCTGTAATTACGCACTATTTTACCGTGGGTACTACAACTGTTGCTCCGAATTAAATTATTTTTAATTTTTAATAAATTCTTTATGGGTTAAAAAATAAAAAAGTGCCGTATTTAGTTTTTTTATTAAGTACCGTAAGTACTAAAAACGAATAGGCTACGTTTAATTTATCTTTAAGTTTTTGGAAAATATTTAACGGATTGCGAAATAAAGGCCGATAAAATCACAGCTTCAAACCAGTTAAAAGGAAACAGAATATTGACGTTGTTTTATTTCAACGCGTTGTATAATTACTGTGCTAACGTTAATACTTTTAATTTGATTATTGCGTTATTTTGACCTTTGTAATTGTTGATAATTCGTTGGTGTACTGAAAAATAAAAAACCGCTGAAAATAGACCTTTTGGTTGAACTTGATAAATCTCCTTCGCATCAGGTCTGTTGTGGGGAAATATTAGAATTAACATTTAAAAAAATACAGTAATACGTTGCACTAGTGTACCTTCATGTTGCTTCTGAAATTGGCATTTTTTTACCCATATTAAACGTTTGAATTTATATTAATTAGGATTATTTATACCTTTCGCTGTATTGCAGCGGATTTATTGGTGGATTTTTTTATATTATTAATCACAACATATACATACAAGTAATTATACGTTTAATTAAAAATTCTTAGTTATTTAATAATTATACACTTCGCTGTGTTGCAGCGGAATTATTGTTGGATTTTTTCGAGTATTACTCCACCTTCTCCTTCCCCACGACGGTGATGCGGGGCTGGAGCGGCGAAGTGGTCCCGCTGAGCGATTTCCGCGATTCCCTGCCGCCCACGGGCGACCCCTTCAAACTGCGCTACGTGAACCTGCAGGACCCCTTCGATCTCTCGCACAACGTCGCCAAGAGCGTCTCGCTGACCACCTTCGTGGCGCTGCAGCGCTGGCTCCAAGAGGAGGTGGCCGTCTTCCGCCGGCGCGCGCTGAACCTCCTCCCGCTGCTGGAAACCGACCGCGAAGACGTGGCGCCGCCGCCCGTCATGCTGCAGCTCTCGGCCGTTCAGGCTGCGATCCCTTTTGACCAATGGGCGCCCCGCGTCCCGGAGCTGCTGCGCCGGATGCTGGTCGAGTTCTTCAAGTGTGACTGCCCGCTGCCGGCGGTCGACGGTGAGTTGGTCTTTTTTTTCTCCATTAATTGATTTTCTGAACCGATTTATTTAGATTTATTCTGGTCATTTTCTAATGCATTAATTTTAATAATTTATGTTTTTGTCGTTGATCACTTTTGTAATTTACTGCTTATTATTAGTGGCTAATTTGTATGACTGCCCGCTCCTGGTGGCCAGCGGTGTGTGAGAATTTTTTTCTTCATTAATTGATTTTCCAAACTGATTCGATTTGCACTTAATTTCTGGATGCTCTATTCCTAATCCTTTTTGCATCAAATATTTTTAAAACGTTTTTGTTTTTTCAGTAAGTATCTTATTTTGTAATTTACTGCTAACTGTTGGGTGCAGGGTGGCAGGTATTGTTGTGGAAATATAATTTTAACCATAATCATCCTTCGGTGTTTCCTGCGTATTTTATACTCGTATTTCTTTAATAATTATTTTATTTTCTTGCTATTTTTCAATTAGTTTTTGAACTGCCTCAAGTTATGATTTTTAATAAAAATTGTTTTTTTGGTAATTTTATTACATTGTGAATTTTCTGAACCTTTTTATTTATGTTTGAATATATAAATGGCGTCTCGTCGCGTGGTACAAAAAAAATTTTGATTTGTGTTGGATCTTTTTTCAGCAGACGACGGCAGTGTATTTTGTCAATATAAAACGCTTCTGCTTATTCGTTTATTCCTAAAATTTCTTGTATATTTTCTGGGGATGTTTGTGTTAATTTATTTCTTCTGACGAATTTGTTTGTTCAGTTAAATAATTTTTGGTGGGATTTGAGTGTGCATGGCTGTGGTGCAGGTGACATGGCCGGCGGCAGTGGCGAGACGCGGCGTTTCCGGCAGATCGGGCGGATCGTGGCGGAGTGGGAGTGCCGACTGCAGCAGCGCACCTGGCTGAACCGGCGCGCCTACCGCAAGGCCGTGCTGCAGAAGCGGCCGGGGACGCTGCTGGGTCTGGAGGAGCAGTGGCGGCTGGAGTGCCAGGTGGCCGAGCGAATCGCCGCGACTGCCGGGCGGCCGGTGGACCTGCACTTCCGCCTCACGCTCCTCCACAACGCCGTCGAGACGGAGCGGCTCTGCGTCTTCCTCGCCGCCGAGGAGTCCTCAACGGATCTCCAGTAAGAACGCTTTTTCAACTGTTTCATTATAACAGATACGCGGAAGATTTCACTTCACTGTAGAATTAATTTCTCATTTTCTTGCCTGGATTTTTACCGCGCAATAGACAGATGCAGCAAATAATGGCAAAAAAATTAATTTTCTAATTAACACATACTTCTGCACAATTATTAACATAAATAAAATATTAATTACATATTAAACGAATTAAAATGTTGTGGTAATGTCGAAGAGCCGGTAGGCTGTACAGGAGTTTGTTTGGGTTTCTGCGGCGTTTATTAAATAATTTAAAAGGGTATTTGATGCGGTTCATCTTCGTTTTCTTGTGCAGCAAACAGATGAAGTAGCCGATAATGATAAAACAAACTGATAAATAATTGTTAAATATGTTAACTATAATTATTAAAATAAATAAAATATTAAATTCGTATGTAATGAAATAAAATCTGGTGGTACGGTTAATAAACCGGTAATTATGTACAGGAATTTGTTTGAGTTTCTGCGGCGTTTCCTGCCGGAGCATCTGCGCCGGTTCCTGCGTCTGGGGCACAGCGCGGAGCTGGAGAACGGGCGGGATTCCGCGGAGCATCCGCCGGAGGACGCCGCCGCAGCGGCACCGCGTGGACTGAACGGATCGCACTGGCCGGAGGCCCGCAGCGGGGCTGAAGAGCGCCGTTAGCCGTTGTTGTTGTTGTTGTGTTTCCGGTTGTATTTACTTGCCGTTGGCTGGGAAGCGGCGCCCGCCGCGCTGTGGATGCACGGGAATGGGTTGTTGATTAATGACTGTTGTCGAGGTGAAGTGTTAATGTGTAGATTCAGAGATTGTTGAGTCTTCGTTTTTGTTACAGTGATGCTGATGTTCTGGCATATTCTGGCTCGGATCGCCAGCGTACGGACGCTGTTGGGTTGTGCGCCGCATTGGGCGAATGAAAATATTAATAATGAAAATGCATTAATACAGAATAAAATCGGGAAGAAACTAGTCAATAACTGACGGAAAAATCTGTAAAAGAATATATTCATTGACGCTTGTTTATTTACGAAAACCAATCCATATCTACAACAGAACATATCTATATGAAATGCCAGTGCAATGATCATTTTGAGAATAGCACGTACACCGCGTCATGCGTCTCGTTTCGCTCCTGACATGCTGCGATCTTCCCGGAGCCCTTCCTGCACTGTCCGAGACCGTCCGGCTAGGCTGTTTATCCAGCGCTGGTACACGTGCAGCACTATGGCCTAAAGGTCATCGCTCACCGCGGCGGTCAGTGGGCGTGGACGGCGCACATCCAACGGCTGGCCAGTGGCCAGGCAGGGCGGCGCCGTGAAAGGTCACGCTGGTCCGCAGTCATCCCTGGTCGTCGGGCATGTGTCTGCCGTTGCACACGCACCATCGGCAATAAATGCTGACCTTTTATTGGGCGGCTGGGCCGGACCATCCCGGTGGGTGCAGGAGGACCGCGGTCCGCAGCGGAGACGCGGCAGACGGTTAAAGGCGGCGTGGGGCGGACTGCAGTGCTCGGTGACTACCGGGTCGGTCCCGCCCGACGCTCCCGACAATACGGCCACAGCACCGGCAGTCATCGGGCGCACGGCACTTCCGCCGGCGGGAGCGCCGCCGGGACGCTAAGACTGACGACCTAGCTACGTCGCGCCCGCTTCTTCAGCTGGGGCCCTTTCTTGGCATCAAGAAGACGGGCGAAGATAGTTCTTTGTAGGCAGGCACTGCAGGCGGGAAACGGGGTACAGCGCGTCAGTGCTTGGCACAATAAGGAAGGCGTTGGCCGGCGTTGGCGCTGGGTGTGTATGCCGACAGGTAGTTCGGTAAGCACGCTTGCAACACACATCCAGTGGGTCCGCATCCGCCGTCGCGGCCCGCTCACTGTCCAGGAACTGTCGGACCCCGCTGATCTCATCCCAGAACGCTACCTGCGCGTACCGTATAACCCCTGGTATAGTACTTGAGAAAATAAAATCTATACTTCATGCAGTACATAAATCATGAAGTACATAAATCATGCAGACGGTTTTCTCACTATGCTACCTTAACTCTGCTGTCCGGCCTGCACGTGGAATAATTTGTATTCGCTCGCTGTCTAAGGTCACATTCATTCCCGTCTGAAAATCGGGAGGGCCGACTGTACGAGCGGCCTCTTGTTGGGACGCCAATAAAGTCAGATTTTTAAGAACCACTCGGCTATGAGTGATGCGTGGATAAGAGAGCAGTTTGTCCTGAGACTGACACAGGTATCTGGCACAGCTATGCCTGCATGCCGCAGGAACCGATACCACACCGGTGACTCCATCGGGCACGCTGCGTATACGTTACAGATTTTCCGAGGAATGTTTTTTACCGATTATTGTCCACAGGATCCCAGTGTTTACTGACATTGTCCTGCATGTACCTTCCTCGTGTTTCCTGTTCCTTTTCGCTTTCACGGCCGTTAGCCCAGCGTTTTGCGGCCGTATCCTTAATGCACCGTGCATCCGGTTCACGAAGAACTGTACTCGTAATGATTGTTCGCCAACATGTGCGATACGCGACGGATGACCTCGTACATCCCCGGTACAGTTGACCGTAAGCATTCACTCGTCCCTCTCTGTTCCCCGGGATTCAAGCAGGTTTCTTACCAGCCTGTCGACAGACGGAGCAGCAACAAATACAACGATTCATTTACTGAAATACACGAACAAAAATATATCCCGACAATGCGCATGCCAAAATTAAACAGGTTGGTCTATCTGTAAATGCCGACGGTGCTCTGGTCAAGGGAATGCGTGCGGCTTGGACAGTGATCCCGTACCGGAGTAACCGGACGTCTAATTTTTTTTACCACCAGCTTTTATACATACATACACTAATTATCGTTCTTTTGACTCGTATCTGTTATGCGTACCACCGCGGACAGGACGAAGAGTACCGTTTCTCTGGTGTACGGCACGCGCATCCCAAATGTCCGAAATGCTTTCAACGTCCCAGTACTGCTGGTTATACACGAATGTCAGAGATATCAGCCATGTTTTGGATGACTGTTTTCATTGGAACCGATTACCATTACAAGGAAATTACGGTAATGTGTCACAAGTGAATTCCGATGTACGTACAGTATTGCACAACTAAGAATAAAGAACTACAGACTGTACAGCATTAAAGCATATAAGCACAAATTAGCAAGGAAATTACGGTAATGTGCCACAAGTGAATTCCGATGTACGTATAATATTACACAACTAACGTAAGAATAAAGAACTACAGACTGTACAGCATTAAAGCATATAAGCACAAATTAGTAAATTAGAGACAGAAATGGAGGAACACCAGTGAATGATAAGGTGTATTTACATTATACACATGGCGTAACGGCTGATGCGCCAAATAAGGCGACGATAAGGCCGGTGCATCCGTGCGTCGGTACAGCTGCGTGTCAGACGCGGAAGACCTCGCTGATGCCCAGGACCGCCAGTTTGCTCAGCTGGAGCACGTCCAACGTCCGCAGGTCCTCGTCATCCCAGCATCCTACGCTCCCGTCGCCAAAAAACGGGCTAAACCTGCCAGTTTCAACACATTTAGGGTCACCATGTAACAAAGCCATTTAAAGGTCACTTTGTAACAAAACCATTTAAAGGTCACTTTGTAACAAAACCATTTAAAGGTCACTTTGTAACAAAACCATTTTCACTGTGCAACAAAACAATTTAAAGGTCACTGTGCAGAATAACCGTTTAAAGGTCACTGTGCAACAAAACAGTTTAAAGGTCACTGTGCAGCGGAATGGCGTGAACAGCGTGGGCACTTACACGTTGAGATATTCCCGGATCCCCTTCCATTGCCGTGGGTACTCCAGGCTGCGCACCCAACGCTCGTGGACTTGCGCTACTTTGGCGTAAAGGTCATCGCTGACCGGTGGACAGTGGGCGTTGACGGCCCACATGAAACTACTGGCCATGGCGTCCTCGCGTGTATCGCAGTGGAATTCCACGTTGGGCAGCGTGATCTGCATCTGGTCGATGCTAAGCGGGGCGGCCTCATAGTGCAGCGGTACCATCCAATTTTTCTCCTCGCTCAGCAAGAGGATATCGGGGCCTTCCAACGGTTGGCTGAACAAACTGAACATGGCGAAGCGGAACAGATTGCAAAGCGTCCAGTGGCGGAGGATAATGCGCCGGGCGTAGTCGCGGAATCGGGTGACCTCCATGGGGAAGAAGTGGTACTCGTCTCCCAAGCCGCCGAAATTCAGGTGGATATCGCGCAGAATGAGCAGTGGTAGACGCGGGTTCAAGGCAAAAAAAAGCTGGTAGCAGACGAAGGATATGTCGCATTCGTGGCGGTGCCCGACGACGATCGTCAGACTTTTCGTGGTGGAACGGATGGAGCGGGACAAGAGTCGGAGCGCGGCGTGGTCTCTTCCGATCAGGCACTGCACCGCGCCGTTGCTGCAGAAGCGGCAGCCGAAGATGATGTGGTTCATGTTGCGCGGGTCGCTGAGAATCTGATGCCATAAGCAGCACACCCTGTCAAGACATGTTAAAGGCCATGCGTCATTTACGAGTAAATTTGTGTGGCGTTTAGTCGCCGCTGACCTTTTGACCGTGGCCTGCGTGTGGAGGTCCAGCTGCAGGAGAATCGCGGTCCACAGCGGAGCCGGCAGATGAACGAAATCGGCGCCGTCCAAATCGACTGAAAAAAGCTACCTTGGAGCAGTACTCCTATTTTATTAGAAAGGTCACTTTACGATCACTTACGCTGGCCTCCGTCTTCGTACCGGCTCTTCCTGCGGCCGCTATGTTGCTCTGTGAAGATTGAGCTGTTCAGTAGCGAGACGAGTCCCGCTTGATCGGCACTTAGGTTCTGCAGCACCTGCAGCAACGTGGCGGTCGTCCACTCCGCCGGCATGACCTCCATTGCAGCGCTTAAGACGATGAAAGTACAGCTGTCCGTTCCGATGCGCAGTTGGAAGCGACAGCTGTCGTGTAGCTTCTTCAGGGTTTCGTGCCCGCTCATAGCATCACGGAGACGTTGGACGAGAAGAGTTCGGTCGGCGGGACCTCGCAGCACGGACAGAGACCCGGGGAATGGGATGACCACCTTGACGTAGCGGAAGCCACTAACAGCGTTGGCGCGCGACGCTCGGGCCGACGGCAATTCAGTGACGACCTGGCAACGGTCCACTACTTCGAAGGCTGGTGCACCGTTTTCTTTCAGGGAACCACACCTCGACGCGGGAGGGGTGGTAACAAAACAGACGCGGTCGTGCTTAGCCGAGATGCCGCCCCTTGTCGTCGCCGCTCGGAAGCGGAAGGGTCCGTTGAGCTTATCCTGCAGCGCCACCTGCACCCTGTTCCCACGTTGCCAGCGATAATCCAGGGGAACATCGCCCGGAAACGGAGCCAGCCACACGCGACTGGCCTCCATCCAGCGCGCATCCGTCCCTTCGGAATCGAACTCGACCAGAATTTGTTCGCAATTGTCGGAGATGTCTTGAATGTATCCCAGCCAATAACAATTAGCGTCGCTGTCAGACTGCACCACCACCGTGTTCTGGTAGCCGAAAGAACGGCCATCCGACGCCACACGCATCCGCCGGAAGGGTGGCAGTGATGTCGAGGATGCCATAATTCCATTCATTTTATAATGGTCACACCGTGTTGCTCGTGGCGTAGCCAACGCTTTCATGCCGACACCAAGGGGACTTATTTCTGTGACGCTGATAAATAGCGCTGGCTTGATACGCTCTGGTTGCCAGGCATATCAACTTTTGCAAATTTGCAATTCCATGTGGGTCAGGTCAAGAAGCAGGTAGCAGCATTTAGGGCGTCTCTGGTCACTCAGACTACACTGACAAGTATCAGCTATATAGTAGATCAGTATCAGTATCAGCTATATAGTATATAGTATCAGCTATATAGTAGCTATATTTTAATTCAGAGTCAGTGTGACACGGAAACCACTAGCCATTGTGGTAAATATGCCTT